CGTGCGTCAGGTAACCGTGTGAAGACGTTATTAATATACGAGACGTCGCGTTTCACGATGAAAATCCGCACACGACGTTCTCTCCCCTTTGGCGGCGAGAGGAGCTCCTTTAATTAGAGTCTATTAATATCAAGCGGACAAACTATTTCGAGTTCTCTCGGAGATTCCCGCTCGGAAGAACGCTCGGTATTCCACACGCGTATATATTTCACAATGATTAATATATAGCCTGTCAAGGCGAATCCAGGGACATCCATCATCCGCGAGAGATTCCCGCGGTTCGGAGAGGGAGCTGAGGCAAAATAAGCCGGAGTGTTTTATAACGTGGAACGTTCAATAACTGTATCAGCCTCGCGCCATGATCATTGAGCAGAGAAGGAAGCAGGATTCTCGCGCAGGACGAGGCTGGGTGGGTGGTGGGGTGGCCTCCCCTGAGGAACGTCCGGGAGTCGCGAACGAGCGAAGTGAGACGCGCCGCAAATACGATCGAGTCGGCGCAAGAAGCGCAGGCAAAACATCTCGTGATATTCCTCTCGCGTGTAGCGACTGACGTTAGTGACGTTCCCCACAGATCGGAAAACGATCGTCGCGAATCGCCGCCATGACGATCGGCCGGCCGCGCCGTCGAATTTGCGCGACGAATATTTCTCCGAGATTTTCTTCGAAATTTTCTCCGAGACGTTTCTTTCTTCTACCTCTTTCTTCGTACTTTCTCTCGTATTCATTCTCAACGAGCCCGCGAAAGAGACAGAATTCCCGTCTCTCTACTTCGTCCTTCATCGCCGGACGGTGTCATTGTTTCCGCGCGGGAAACGGAGAATTATTAGATCTAACGAGTCAAGATGAGATGAGCGCGCGCGCGCGAACAATGTAGATTTATTATCGCATCTAACGCGCGCGATCCGCCCGCGTGAATTGGCAGAATCAGTCGGGCGGCGATCGTGCTTCTGGCGAACAACAGTTTAATTATAGTCATCACTTGCGGGAGCCGCGACGACCGCGAAACGCGCCTTCCGTCTGCGATTTTACAGTTTATTGAGGCCCGATATCGCGCGCGAGTCTCTCTCTCTCTCTCTCTCTCTCTCGGTAACTCGAACGCAACTTAATGACCGAGTCGAGTTTCTGGCGGTGCATAATTATGAGGGGCGAGATTAATCGCCACTCGAGCCGGTTAAAACCCGGGTTGGTGGCCGCTCTTCTCTATTGCCGGCCGCTCGGATAACGAGCGATATTATTAGAAATCAAATGAGCATTGTAGCCGCGAAACTGGGTAGAAAAGTAAACGGGCGACGTCTCGTAGCCGGAGCGCTATCAGGCCACGCGAAGACGCGCGAACGAGCGCACTCGGCCGGAGTTATTTTCCACGCTGATAAGAGATAATTCGGTCCGCTGGGGGTACCCGGAGTCAGATGATTGCCCCGCCACTCTCGATGACGCTCGTCGGATATCTCGGCTCAGTGACGCACGAAGCAATGGTGCGCCGCTCTTATTTTGGCTGACACGAAAACAATACGCACAAGAGAGAGTCGTAAATTGAGACTTGTTTTATCGATTTGTACACGAGACGTTAATTGCGAAACATCGCTGATCGAAGGCACCAGATTGACCGGCCGATGAAATTAAGAACTCGAGAAACCGAGGAATCCGAGACCGCACCCACACTAGTTTATACAAATTAAGGAAAAGAGCGAAAGGAATGATGATGGACAATAGAAGTACCACCGTGGTGGTGGTAAACTCGCTTCACTTTCGAACAGAGTGTTTTATCGCCGGAGGAATTTGTAAATCCGACGGAAACGGACTCGTCTTGCCGGTAGGAAGCGGCCGATATCCTGAAGATACTTTATCGAACCCCGTGTCGCGCTTTATCGCTTAGCCGCTCAACTCCGGCGAACTCGGGGATTTCTCGCGGCCCGCTCTCGCACGATGTCCGATAATGCGTTTCGTAACTCCGCGCCGGGAATCGCTGATAACGGCAATTAATACGTATGCAAATTCAGCAGCCGATCCACGCCTCCTTAGCACGGGGTCCGCACACGCTCGCGACGTGTGGCAATCGGCAGTTATCAGCGGTCGTGGCGAGAGAGACGAGTCGAGTTGTTTGCGAGAGAACGAGCAGTGGGAAAACATGGAGAGAACGACAGAGGAATCCAGACCGAAAGAGCGAGAGGAAGAGAGCGGCGGCTGACGATTGCACCAGCGGTGAAGAGTCCGCGAGAGATATCTCGCTGTAATGCGATTATTATGGCTGAATCGGACCCCCAGCAGTACTGTTGCATCATCCCAGCACCTCTCGACCCCGCTGACCGCGTCGGCCGCGCCGCGACGACGAGTGGAAAATATATTTTGCGCCGTGTGCGCTCTCTCGCGAACGCGCGATAATTTCCGTCTTTTCCTGCGCGGCTCGTCCCGGGCGCGATTCGCAATTTGCGGTTCCGTCCGCGAGACGAACACCGCACCGGATTCTTCACGCGCACATCGAGATCGGCAGATTTCGAAATCGGTCACCGCGTGTTACTCGGATACAGATCGATAGCACCGAGATACCGACTATCGCCATATCGGCCGAAGGCTATTTATTAATCATCTCTTTTTTGGCGCGGTAATCCTGCATTATGTATACGCTCATTCATTCGCGACCCTCGACACTGCGACGCATGCGTGGCGAATGCAACATTTCGATACCTTCCGTGAGGAAAGGAGAAATTTTGAAGCCAACTCAACACGAAAGAGGCGGTGTAGTTTTTTTTCCGACGAACTATTATTATTTCGAAAATCGTGCGAAGATCGAGCCGAACAGCTTATCGCTCTAAAAGCGACACGTGCGCTCCACTACAAATGGCGCGTCATGAAGTGCGCGTGATTATCTTATTTGTCCGAAACGATCACGAATCAGATTAAAAAATATGGCTGAGTAGGTACTGTAGGATCAATAAAGTATTAGGTAATAAAAGATAAGTAACGAGTAGCGAGGAAGAGTTGGGGGAGGCAGCAGCAACTTAAAAATGCGCTTGAAGGAGGCTGTGTGTGTGTGTGTGTGTGTGTGTGTGTGTGTGTGTGTGGATGGGTGGTCACGTTAATCCTTTAATTTCCCTTCCCCTAAAATTCCGCTCTAAAATTCGCTTCGCGAGAGAATCGCGCGAGATACAGTCTCGACCGCTTTATCGAATAGAATTCCGCCTATGAGCGACATTTACGGATGGCTTCTGCCTCAAAGTCAAAGAGAGACACACCTCCGCTCTTATCTCGTAAGCGTAAAGTTTAATCAGCGCGAAAGTTGATCATCAGCATTCATTTAATCGTCACGATTAAAAGTTCTTCACGTCTTCGGCTCACCAAATAGTGTTATCGAGGTAGATGTTATCAATCTTACCAACGACCGATAAACCTGACCCTGATAGCGAAGGCAAGACAGGTAATTCCGAAATATTTTCATTCTTACGCGCCGAAAGTGCGTAGGTCATATCGAATCGAAACCGTCGGAACTGTTTCGACATTCGCCGCCAGAATTGCTGAGAGGGAAGGTTTCTCTCCCTTCTTCTTCTTCTTCTTCTTCTTCTATTACTTTCCTTCCTCTTATAAATATTTTCTTCATCTTAACTCTCAAGGTCACGCAATCGCAATTTTAATTTCTCATTTTTAATAATTTCCATCCAGAAGTACGCTTGGGCAGACCCTAGTAGCGTTATCAGTGCAAACGCTACCGAAACTACTCGTAGAGCGCGATAGTGAACTTCACAAACAGCAATAATGTAACGTTAGCACGACTGCGTCGTGCCGTTGTATCATTTATCACCCTGGAACTTACCGGTTTGTGCTCCAAAAGCACCAGTTAGTGAGAGTCGCAATTTTAACTACTCTTCAGTCTCAACATTCCGAAGCTCTGCTTTCACAAAACTGTTCATATCACATGTGTGAATAATAAAATGATGGATATGACACAGACATACCATCCAAATACAGCGATACGCAATTCACGTAGCTCACAAACGCTGACATTGCCAATGCACCACCTTGGAATAACATTAATTATAGCGTACAACCAGAGATGTGCGAACTATTCGAATTCGAATCGAATCGAATCGAATCTAATGTAATTCGATTCGATTCGAATCCGAATCCCTGTGATTCGAATCCGAATAATTCGAAAACCTCGAATCGCGAAGATTCGAATACGAATAAAATATATTGTGCGTATCAGTTATAAAACGGGCCATCAGTTATAAATCAGGCTTGTATATTTGAACCCTTAACTTTTTAATTAATTATTAACTAATAATGTTTAATTACCGTAATTAACCTAACTTATAATTAATAACTTAATTATAAATTACTATAAATATTTAAATATATATTTTATTTTAAGATAATATTACAATATTAATATTTCCTTTCATAGTAAAATCTTCCATCGTTACTTGCACGTTTAATATTCATGTTAAATTTTTTAATGGTTCGATTCGATTTGATTCGAATTCGAATGAAATTTCATAGATTCGATTCGAATTCGAATTTAAAAAATGAGATTCGATTCGATTCGACATAAAAATTCTTGATTCGCACATCTCTACGTACAAAACGCTGTCATTAGTGATGTCACGGTAGCGTTTGTTAGCGCTAACGTCCAGCCGCGTGAACTTCTATTAGCGCTAAATAGCGCTAAATAGCGCTAAATAGCGCTAAATAGCGTCTCCCCGAACGCACCCTAAACCTGTAACTTTCAAAGGACGACCGATACCGTCAAATCCGACCCAACGGAATTCTTCCTACGACCTTTGTTAGGACCAGGTAACGACGCGCCCGAGCACGAACCGAGCTCGTACCTGGAGCAGGTACGTGCGTTTCGGAAAACATCTATCTAAGCAAGGCGCAGGTTTTGTCGAGTGTGCCTGCACACGCAGCCACACACAAACATCTCACACTCGAGTGGCGAGCGAACGGCCGACGACGAAGAGGGACGGCAGTCGCGATGCGGACAACATCGCCACAATTCGCTCACGCGCCACGTTCCTATGGTCAGGGTGGGGACTCCGCTATAAGAAGATAAATCACAGTAGAACGGGTCAGTTTACGACTAGACCACCGTACGGTACCAGCACTCCAAGTCCCGGTGTTACCGTCGCTGATACCGTTCGTCTCTTGCCGAGGAGCCAAAGCCGTGATAAGCGAATTTTCCGCGCAACAAGCGAATTTCCCGAGAGGAGAGGTACGTCCACCGCATTGAAATTCCACTCGTCCGGCACAGGACGAGCCGTGCCGCGTCGCGTCGCGTCGGTTCCTCGACGAGGGGCCACGACATTGGGAACCGGCTTCAAAATCTGACACTTGTTGCTGGCCCGCGGCTTTCCGACGCCGCCGCCGCCGCATGCGCGGCGCCATTGCACCGACGTGCATCTTACGGCCGGCGGTAATATGTAATAACTCGATTTACCGCGCTGTTCGAGATGCGAGATAGCACCGCGCGTAGCAATCGCGAATGCAGCCGTGAAACATACGACCGGCGTAACGCCGCGGCGTCGCACATGCAGCGTGCGATTTTATTTGTAAGAAAGCTGCTGAATTTTTCGTGATCAAATCGTCAGGCGAGCAAAAAGCAAAAGGGGCGGGATAACGCCGCGTCGCTCGGCTTGACGCGGAAATTTTCCGATCGGGAAGAAGAATGGAGGAAGAACGGAGAAAGAGAGAGAGAGAGAGAGAGAGAGAGAGAGAGAGAGAGAGAGAATCGCCGTGCCGCTTATCAAACCGCCGCTGGTATTTGCATTTATCTCTATTCACCGGCAAAACCGCGCGCCCATTTCCCGACAAAAGTCCACGAGAGACCCTCTCTGAGCGCACTCTCTCGTGGGATCGCTCGTGGGCGTCTGACGTCAAGGAGAGCACAAGCTCGCGACGACGAATTGATGAATTCTCTCCCGTTGTTCGCGACGCGCTCCGCGCTTACTTCAGCGAGTGACGATAAATTTCAATGCATGGAATATGTTGGTCTCCGCGGAGAAGAGGAATTTCCGTATCGCCCAGCCCGGCGAGCGCGCGCGAGCACGCTTACACCTTTTTACTTTTACACATTTGCGCTTACGTAACTTTCACTAACTTCGAGCTCGTCGTTCTGTTTTTACCGCGGGAATAATACACACTCCGGCACTACCGGATGCCGCGGCATTAGCATTGCTTCCGGCGCTGCTTCTCCGCGACTAAAGACGCTTTATTAGGCTCGCTATATCCAACGCGTGATGTAACCTATCGTTTGACGTTAATTACGAGACTCTACAATTTCCGTGGCTGACACGTGTCGTTAAGTCGCCAGGCACGTCCGTGGCTGACTGTGAGTCAGTGTGCGTAAGACGATATCGCCGGACTGCGTAAAAGGTCACCGCCGAAGCGACAGGAAAATACGAGTTTTCGCGAAACAGACAGGAAACGCGCTCCCGGCAGAACTCGGGTTTTCATTAGCGGAGATATCGAGTCGCTAATTACCTAAAAACTGCAAGTCAGTAAGAATAGATAAGACGAGGATAATAACTAGATAACGAGACGGTCACTCGCAACCAGATATTCAAGGTGGACTTTGATAGATCTCCAATTAGGCTCTTAATTGGCAGTTTTATTATCGAAAGATATCGCACGTGGAAACTTGGAAACTTGCACCTGCAATGATAATCTCCCTTGACTTCTCTTCCCTTTTTTTCTCAAGAAAAATTCAGATCGAAATTCTCAAAATTCAGGTCGAAAGTTCAGAAAAAAACGGAGGGGGGGGAGGTCACGCGTTTAATATGTTTTAACTTTGGATGCTCGCTCGAAGCATTCTTAAGTGACCGATTATGAATGTCCAGAGACATTAACGGACTCGTTCGCGTGAATAGCTTCGAGTATATCGACGTTTATCGGAACCCACACGAAGCGTCGCTTGTAATTTGCGCGTATGTGTGTGTGCGCGCGCACGCTGAAAGATTTAATATGTATAAATCGACAGTGGCGGTGCTGTCGCAAGCGCTGCTACATATTGTAATCGTAGCTATGTACCGCGGCCGAGATATTCATGATGCGGTATATTTCCGCCCATAACAAGCTAGTTATCTTATACCTCGGTGCATTAATATTCGCCGCGCACATGAATAATTAATGTGTTAATCATGCTAATGGCCGTTACGTGACACGCACAATGTTGGCGATCCGAGCATCAAAAGAGCCAAACGTCCAATCTCTATCCTATGTCTATCCTCGTATAAGTGTCGGAAAGAAACGCAGGAAGGAGAAGAGGAAAAATTAATAGAGTGTTATTCCACTAAGAATTCTGTTTGCGTAACGTCTCGATCAGACATCGAGTCTAGATAATGTCCGATACAATAGAAAGATAACGAGAAGTACAAAGTAAACGAAACAAGTGATGTATCAACAGGCTGTTTGTCCATCGCGTCCTCCGGACGCGTTTCTCTCTCGAGATAGACGACTAGAGCTGAACTTTTCTCTCCAGTGAGTTTCCAGCGAACGCGTATAGGAACCTCCGAAAAATCCGTTCGCTCGAAACGCTGCAGGTTCGCTCGTTTCGACTTATCGGATTATTTATTTAACTGTATACGCGAGCCGAGATGCTATAAACGGATGAATTAGACGGGCGAAACGCCGGGTCTAACAGCGAATAATCTCGCCGACGACGACGCCGACGTTGTTTGCCGTCGATATTGATATTTCCGTCCGATAACGCGGGGATAATGGGAACGTCAACGTGTGTTTGTGATTTCGATAAGCGAGGTAATATATTCACGATGTTTATCGGTCGTCCCGTGACCCGCGCGACTGTTACGGCTGAAGATTTCGATCGCACGGCCGATTGTAGATTTCCGCCGCGCGCGGAACGATTAGAAAGTGTTCGCGTACGAGAAGTTTCATACACGCGAAATTAAGCAAGCCGACTTGCAGACTCGAGAAAAAACGTCCACGTTGCCGAAATCGATTCTGTGCGCGAATGCGCGTGCGATTTACCCGCCGCTCTTCGTGAACATGTGTGTCCTATATCCTCGAATGAAAATATGCGTACAATATAAATCGTCGTGAATTTTTAACTCGCAACTTTTCAAGCGGGTGATACGTTAATAATTAATCAAACGGCAGCAAATAGGGAATTTCTAAGAAGCATGATAATCCCACAGCAGCTGCTGACGGCATAAATACCCACGACCGGTCGACCGGTTGAATAATAAACGCCTGATCGCCAGCAGCGATATCTCTTTGTCCAGGTTCAGGTAAACGATACTCAGGGTCTTCTTTTGTTCAAGGATAACATGTCGGTCAACCTGAGGAGCGTTCTCATCAGCGATCCCGTGGACGAGTCTTGCGGGGCGCTGCTGCTCGAGCACGGCATTCCGGTTACGACAAAATACAGACTGCCGAAGGATGTGCTGATCAACGAGCTGCAGGTAGGGCTGCATTGTGCCGCGAAGTTGCGCTGTGTGCGTGTAAATCCCGTCGCGCGAAAAACAAGCGAGTCGAAAAGCAATCGGTACAAACGGTATTTGGCGAAATCACGTATTCCGTTTGACGGAATATCGAGTCGGCGTATCGAGTATTGACTTTGAAAGCAGGGATAATGCAAAAGGGACAAGAGAGAGTGGGATCGATTTTTTTCTTTCCGGGGAGCCTCTGCTAACGGTTTAACGGGCGTTTTGGCTCACTTTGTCTGCTTCTTTGTCTGTTTCTCATCGGTCTGAGTCCGGAAATACCGTAATTCGATGCTGAGAGGATCAATACAGTGAATTAAAATTGCAAAGCTTCGCAAAAGATCGTTAGTTTGGTAACATTTATCGTTACTGTCGATACATTTACGACGTTAATTTTAATTTATTTAATTAATTAATTTTAATTCGCAAGTCATTGAATCTCTCGACCGTCTTCTTATCGCGGCAACCGATATTTCTGCGTTGCTTTACGGACCGAGGAGAATCGCAACGACCGAGTGACTATTCAACGCGGATCTGACGGAGTTTGGTTTTCTTTCGGCGCATTCATTAGCGAGTAGCATTTGCATTGTACAAAGCTCTCAATATTCATCGATTTCGAAACAAGCCGATATGAACAATAGATTCTGAATGAGAAAATGGAGAGCAGACATATTATTTTCCTTAGATATTAATGAATAGAATCACTATTGACAAATATCGATATTAATCAACGAAGCAATAAGAGGAGAAATTTCTCGAAAAGAAATATTTTGCGTTTTCGTTTTTTCTTCGTTTCTTTTTTTTTTTTTTTTTTTGAGAACAATCTACCTTTGAAGATTTGTTTCTCTCTGTGCGTTACACTCGGATTCCGATAAGCCGATTAAATGCATACAGAGACAAAGGCCTGTTTGATCTCATCAAATTGGTACGTTGTGCCTTACCAAACACGTAATCAGATAAAATTGACGAAATATTTGTCGTCTCTCTCTCTCTCTCTCTCGTTCCGAAATACATATTCAATCAGTTATCAGATACGTCGTCTACAGAACTGTGATATATTTCGTTAATCACACAAATGACGACGCGCCTGTATTATTTCACAGCGCGTCCGAGCTACGGAATTAGTTTACACAGAAGTAAGCTCTGTTAAATTCCAATCGTCGATCATCTGGAACAATCGCGTCCCCCCGCCCTCCGTTGCAAGAAATCATTCGTTCTTCCTCCCCATCCCTCCAGAACGAAAAGGTGGAACGTGCGAGTGACGGACGGAGCGCGATGCGCAGCGACTTGCCGCAATTTCTCTCGATCATAATTGATCAGCGACGAACGAATCGAGGAGATCCTCGATTCGAGCCGGAGGATTTCGGGGATCGGTTTATCTCGCGCTGAATATCCCGCGTGTGTGAGAAGTCGCTCGTTCCCCGCTCGCTCGGGCGAATTCCGCGCCACGCGTCGATCCATCTCGAGGCGTTAGAGACACATTCCCTGTAATTTAACGCAGCGTTACGAGCGTAATAAATGCACGCCACTGACATGTGACGGGACGCGCCTCTTGCTCTCTTTTCCGCCCCCCTCCGACCTCCCACCCCCTCCTTCGCCGCGCTGCCCCGTCTCCTTCGCTCCTTCGGCCCGATCGATCTCCGTCCCGTTCTCCGTTTGATCTCTCTTTTCTTAATTGCCCGCATTCGAGGCGGCGATCCGGTTAGATCCAGTTGAGTCGGCCGGCGCGGATACCGGTTAGTTCGCAACGGGTCATTGTACCACCGGTTTGCGCCGGCACACATGGGCGCTCGTACAAGGAGACTTGCTGTATCCCTTCTCCGCGCAGCTATTTCTCAACAAGTCACATTTAGATCGCCCGCAGCCGCCGTTCCTCCGTTTCCTCGCTCTCGCCTCCTCCGGCAACGTCAAAGCGCAACGTTTGCAAAGCTCGGACGCACGTCTCGTTGCAAATGCCGCGAAGGAGAGACCGACGCGACTTTGGAAGTCGCGCGACCTTCTCTTTCACGGAGAGACACGGATTTGAATAAATTATGACGTCGCCGGGCGGGATCGCCTCGTTCTATCCACTACGGCGGTGTTTGCGGTGTTTCTCCCGTCTTCCAGATCGGTATCAGCGCACACGATGTGCGTCACCGATGCCGAGCGAAAGATGCCGCAGCTCTTCGCTCGTAAGTGCAGTTCTCGAAGTAAACGAGACGTTTGACGTTCTGTCCGACAGAAGCACGATGCACTCATCGTCCGCTCCGAGACTAAAGTGACGGAGGACGTGATTGCCGCCTGCCCGAACGTCCGCGTGATCGGACGCGCCGGCACCGGGGTCGACAACATTGATCTTCAAGCTGCCACGCGCAAAGGAATCATCGTAATGAAGTACGTACAAGTCCGATTTTCGAATTTCGCACGAACCTGCCTCCAATTTCGCGTATAAAACAACGAGCCTCTGCGGCGCCCCTGCGGGAATCCTCTCGTCAAGAGGACGTGATAGATCTTTAACGAATCAGCTAGTAACCGACGCATCGATTGTTCAATCAACTGGACTCAAATCACCGCGGTGGTTAAAGAGCTGATCCCAGCGCAAAGTTCAGCTGCAGAACAGATAGAACAGATGTTGAATATTACTGAAAAGTACTCCAATCGTGTCCTCGAGACTTGTAATTGTGAAAAATACATATCTGGACGTGAAACTTTCTGTACTTTTCAAATCTGTAATAAAAAATATAAGTTTTGCACCAACAAATCAACGCTGGGCCGCCCGTTAGGCCCAAGAGGTACATCGGACCCAAATTTGGGGCCTACCACGTGAAAGAACTCGATCAACAGGACAACTTTTATTTTGGATAATTTTTCATAAAAATGCACTCATAACGAATTATTCGACCGAGTTCCCAAGGATCCGGCGATATCTATGGCGATACGTGCCACGATATGGTCGCCATATTGAAATTACTAAATTGCAAAAGATTTCAGAACTACATATATTTGAAGTACAAGTCTCGAGGACACGATTGGAGTACTTTTCAGTGATATTCAACATTTTTATCAGGATGAAATCCATGATTTCGAAAAGAATTGACGAGAAAAAATCGCATTTTTTGGAAAAACAATACAAACGCCCATTTTTCATGATTCTCGCAGCGGATTCGAGAAGAGCGACCTCGAAAACCCACTTTGGATTAAAATTTTCGAGCATTTTCATAAAAATTCATAACGTTGAAATCAACGCGAAATCTCTGTCCCAGCCGGCATTAATGAGTTAAGCGCGAGAGACTTGGCGCGGATCATCCCGATCGAGCCGTCCGCATCCGTGCGTAATCGCATCCCTTGCTTCGGCGATTTCAGCACCCCCGGTGGCAACAGCATCAGCGCTTGCGAGCTAACGTGCGCTTTGATCTCCGCGCTAGCGCGTAATGTGGTTCAAGCGGCGCAATCGCTAAAGGAGGGCCGGTGGGATCGGAAGCTGTATTCCGGCCATGAGCTGTCCGGCAAAACTCTCGGGGTCCTCGGGATGGGTCGCATAGGCCGCGAGGTGGCCCACAGGATGCAAGCCTTCGGCATGAACGTCGTCGGCTTCGACCCCATAGTGAGTGACGAGGCCGCAACCGAGCTCGGTATCAAGAAGCTCAGTCTGGAGGAAATCTGGCCGGTGGCCGACTACATCACCGTCCACACGCCGCTCATACCTCAAACCAGATGTACGTGATAGAAAGTCGTTTGATCCTTTGGAATGATCCTTTGGAAATTGTTAAGTGAAGAATCTAGTAGAATCTAGCAGTACTCTGTAGTCTGAAGTTGGAGGGCGAATTTATCGTGTTGATAATTGTATACTTGGAATTAGAATAATTGGTCATCACTCGCAGAGACGGAATCGTTCTTGTGCCACGCGACGACTAACCGCAGCTGCGCATTGTTCACAGATATGATCAACGCGGTATCTCTGGCCAAGTGCAAGAAAGGAGTAAACATCATCAACGTCGCACGTGGCGGGATTGTCGATGAGGAGGCTCTCTTGAACTCGCTCAACTCCGGTCACTGCGGCGGAGCCGCCCTGGATGTCTTCACACAGGAACCGCCAATGAATCCATTCATCATAGAGCTCATACAACATCCGAAAGTCATCCCGACCCCTCATCTCGGTGCGTAGTTCGATTACTCAAAGTAATCTCAGTCTCGATTGTCTAATATGAGAAAATCGACTGATCTTGTCAGATCCAAAGACGACCCGGCGATTGAATAATTAGATTATCAGTGAAAACAATCGTTTCTGCGTACATTTTAATCGATAGATCATTTACAAATAAAAGACGCCTTAAAGATATATCAACCAAGCTCGAACCAAGCTCTTCAAGGTCTCTCCCCATGAGATGAAAGTTCAATCTTGTCAATTCTTGACAATCTCATCCCGCCCAGGCGGTGTGTGCTGTAATGTATATCATTAATTGACAACCGGCTTGATCACAGGCGCCAGCACGGCGGAGGCTCAGCAACGGGTGGCGGTGGAGATTGCTCAGCAATTCCTCGCTCTGTCCGGCAAATCGACCGAGTACGCCATCACCGGTATTGTGAACGCCCCGGTCTTGACCGCCGCCATGACGAACGAGAACAGGCCGTGGATAGAATTGTCGAAGAAACTCGGCCAACTGGCCGGTCGCTTCCTCAAGGGCAAGCTCAACACAAACACCGTGTACAGCCAGACCGTGGGCAACGGCATGCAGGAGAAGCGATTCATACACACGGCCGTGCTGGTCGGAGTGTTGACCGGTCAAACGAAGAACGGCCTGAATCTAGTTAACGCGCCGACTCTGGCGCAGGAGATTGGCGTGAACTTGCAAGAAAACCACGTCGAGGACAACATTAGAGCGGTCGTCGTCAAAGTCGACCAGCATGTCATCAAAGGTAATGCGACGGGACCAAAGGGTTCCTCCCACGCGAGAACCAGTGTCCTTGGATTCGGTAACATTGAAGATTATTCCTTCTGTATGTTGCAGGAACCGTGCGCAACAACGAATTGCTGCTGTTGGCTTTAGACGACGCAGTCTTCGTGAACGGCATCGCGCTCAGATACCACATTTGCCTGTACCGCACGAACAGGGTGCAGGATCTCGCCAACATCGTGAACGTCTTCTCGTCGAAGGGTATCAATATTCGCAACTTGAACGCCAACGGCAGCTGGCTGATCATTCAGACTGATCAGGAGGTGTCGATCCCAGTCGACGGAATCAACAGCTTTTGAGCGTTGTCTTTGAAAGAGACAGAAAGAGAGACAGAAAGAGGGAGAGAGAGAGAGAGAGAGAGGGAGAGAACTTTTAAGAGAACGATCGCGGAGGAAAGCGTCGACGACGAGCGATCCTCGTGAAAGCGGAAGGGATGCAAAGGCACTGATAAATCCAGTATTGCTCGATTGCTAGAAACGCGCGTCGAGCTCTTCTATGCTCCTCTACCGACGCGCCTCTTCTTAATTATGTAAAAATCCTCTCATTCGTGAAATCATTATTTATTATCGGACTTAAAGCGGACGAATTTGAAACGAGGTGGAGACAATTACTGTTAACACGCTACGTAGACGAACGATAAGTGTTTCTTTCCTTCTTTATGTAGGATGGAGACTATAGAAATGGTCTGCGAAATATTCTCATTCGATTACACGCGAAGATATACATCTATATATATATATATACTATGTACGAAACACTATTAAACTTATATCGCACACTTACGCACGATAAAGATAAAAATGTATAAAAAAAGGGTTTACATATATAACATGTTCGCGTATAGATATTTATATTTTTGTATTATTATTAGAGAGTTTGTTAATAAAACATCACATTATCAAATCACTGGTTCCAATTCAATTTGTGTTACCTACACCGGAAGAGCCCATTCCATAAGCTCCTATGTCTACAAACGAAGAGTCTCTCTCCTGTACAAAAGGGAACAACTATTCTAGTCATAGAAAGAGTCGAATCTCGCCTCGTAAGTGCCTCGTAAGTTGATTAAAAAGTTATAAAAAATATAATATTTGTAGCTCATCGAAAAATAGTATATTCGTGAAAATGGCCGATTCTCCAGCGTAGAGGCTCTTCCGATGTCGAAATATATGTAATCTTACAAACATGATAATACACATATCAGTTACATCGGTTTGGAATTATTAATGATCATTTTCACCATCGTTTCCTGTTTACCGGCGGACAAACGTAGTATCCGAGAGAATCATCGAGTTCTTTGGTCTTACAGTCATGTTTCCTTGCAATCGAATGTTTGGTTTGCAACGTTAGAGCAAATTTGCATATAATTAAATTAAAACATCTCTATATGCTTCTAAGGACTTAAAAACACAACATTGGCACGTGGCAATAGCGCAATAGAATATCACAATATTTGAATATATGCATATATATGTACAATATTGTGCTTTTCTCTAAACTGTGCTAACAAAAAAAAGGAACTAAAAAAGCAAAAGCTACTAATAAGATGATATGGAAATTGATAACCAATAAATTGATTACGGGCAATTTAAAAAATTAAGATACACTGCTTCACAGAAGAATACCTATCTTATCAACCGCAGTATAAATACAAGAAGACATAAATAGAAATATTACGTAATGATACAAGAAATGAACGAAAACGAAAGTAAAAAAAATATTCAGAATACAAATGTCTATTATCTATAACGTACTAAAATTTAACAAGATCGTGCATTTAATAAATATTAAATGACGATAAAGATCTTATATTCTCTCGTAACTGTTTGCCCGACAACAATTGAAGGTGAAGACGACGCCATCCTATAAAAAAAGAACAGAAAATAGTCCTAAATAGAAACAACACGCGGTAATCGTCTCGCAAGTCATTAAAATGCACTAGACTCATATTAAATATCAGAAAATACAATCATCTTAGAAGAGAATAGTATTTCCTAGTTACCCGGAATTATATTATCACAGCATTTATTTACCCTGACTAACGAAGGAAGCTCGCACCAGAAGTCATGATTCGGTAGCATTTCCCAACCTGTTGCTCCTCTCAGTGTCTTCAATATTATAGCACCAGCAATCAGATACATTCCAGCAAAAGTGAAGAACAAGATAACCAAAACAGAGCCAGTAGACAAACCTCTGTATTGTGGCTCCTTTTTACATCCATATGGTGACACCAGATTAAAATACTACAAATATTTGGATAATTTGCTTATTAAATGCCTTATCATGATATGAGCTAACAAGCAGTTTCTAATATTTCTAGAGAAATATATTTATTATGACATATTGCTATCCATATACTCACATATTTTTCAGTATCGTGAGAAATTTTACCTATTGTAAAATTTATGTCACTATCGGTGACACATAAAATATTTATGATTGATGTAACATTATTGTGGTGAATTTCAAACACTGGAAATTCATTATTGCCACTGTTTAGTAACTTCATTTGAGTATCACGAATTGTTCCAAGATTTGTTGTTATATTACTAGTCATATTGTACATACAAAGCTGTAAAAATAATTTTCTACTTATCACTTGATTCACTTTTTTTTCTACTTAGTTTTGGTTTTTGCATAACTCTTAAAACCACAAATTTGTCAAATGCTTGTAACAGTTTATCAGCAACATAAATTTATTAATAGGCAAATTAAATTACTGTTTAATGAACCAATTAATTATGCTATGAGTTTTGAGAAAATCTAACTAAAATAAAATAACAATAAGAATTTGATTATTGTTACAACATGTTTTCACCATATCTTCCCCACAAATCAATTAATTCATAAAGTATTGAGATTTTTACCGAAACTCCACTTCCACTGGAACATACATCACTCTCATTAATAAAAATTGATATATCCTTGCATGGCTGGAAATAAACTCTCAAGTTGAATTTCTCATCTTCAAGTATCCTGAAAATTGCAATTCACTGACAATCCACAATATAATATACTACATTAACCCTTCATTGCGCTGCTTTGCATCTGCAAGCACATCTGCAAAGCAGAGTTTGAACTGGATGCTGTCAGTCAGAGTTCAACATTGTCGACTATTTTGCTTATTTGAATAGACGCGGCTCTAAGCGGGGAAAAAAGAATTGGCCACCAGTATGTGCTAGTTTTGTAGATATGCAAAGTGACAAAAAAAATTATTTTTCAGAAAAATATAAGTTAAATATTTAAAAAGAAATTTTTCCTGTATTCCCTGACCAATTTAGCACATGAAAATAATTATTAATGGTCATTTATAAAAAGTGCGGAATGAAGGGTCAAGCACATTTCCAATAAAAACAAAGATAAGAATATTAATTTAATTAAAGTAAAATGAGAAGTAAAGTATAGCAAACTCAAAATTATTATTGTTGAATCATTTATATTGCATACAAAAATTTAATCTAATCGAATTTTTCTCTCTTTCTCTCCTTCTCTTTTCTCCTTCTTTTCTCCTGAAAAAATGAAGGCGAGGAATATTCCTGGGCTTATTACTTCCTTACACTTTTCTCAAATAAAAAATTATTTCAATATATTCAAGAGTCTACAACATGCAAATAGGAAAGAGCTGATGAAGGTTAGTTGTTCAGAAAAAGCACGAACTCTTTATCAGCAAGGCTGGTCAAATTATAATAATAGCCGTTCGGCAAACGGCAGATACAAGGCCCCAATTGTGTACATTCCAACGACGTGCTGTCGTAGAATAACATCAGAAATAACACCAATATGAACAAGGTTCCATTACGACTGCACATCTTCCACCGAGTTTTGTTGTCGTTTCGTCCCCATCAACGGATCTGTCACTTGTACAAATGATAACCAACAGTCCCGATGACGCTCACTCGGTGTAGATGTCACCCGTGCCGAATTCCGTGAAAGTTTTCGGATAAAATATATGAGAGAGACTGTCATAATGAAATATCAAGATCAACTTTAAGAGGTCACCTTTAAAGAAAAAAACCTTTTAATTTGTTATTTATAAGTTTCACCTAAATAACTTAAAATAATTCGAAAATAGTTTGTCTGTCTCTTCGTTGGATTGTTCTACTTGAAAGTGGTACCACCAACACTCAACCTAGTTTAAACACCATGTTTATCTACTTTTATCAATTTATCAAACCGTGAGCGAGTCTCCTTGGTTCGATCCCTCGAACCTCCTTCCCTTGAGAGAATTCCTTTCAAAATTTACAATTAATAAAGATATGCACGATTTTCCTCTTATCATTATAAAAAATAAACGGGAAGTGCCTTTGCTTATTTGAATGGCTTCCACGAGATGCCTCTGTATCCCTTTTGTAGACCCTTAACGAATAGCAGAGAGGAACGTGAGAGCGACCAATACGGCGACACCGACTTGCCGTACTGGGAAAGAGCGCCATCTGCATCCATTATGAGAGGGGAACTACGATACATTCATTTTCAGGTTTTGGCGGTAAAACCTGCATGTGGTGGCAGTCCGTGCTACATCCATTTTCAGGCGGTTTATGTCCGTGCTGCAACCATTATAGCGTACTTGACAAACGCGGTCTCGCACATTATTACGCGTTTATAACATGAATTAACATGTTAACATGTGCAAAAGAAAAAAGAATTGACATTGTGTATGATTAATATCATGAAGATCATACAAAGTGTCCGGTAACTAGCCGCCAACCCGAAGTGTGAGGGTAGATTGGGTTGAGACAAACATAAAAGTCCCATACCGAGATTCGCAATAATTATCGAGTTATTAATGACAGAAATCTGAGGAGTAGGAGCGCGCCGACACAGATGATTGGAGAAGCGTTGCAGCTACTCAGGGCAGCGATCATGAATCTTTTCCCTAGCGTGAAGCAGTGATAAGTGAAAGACTTCTGTGAAAAATGAAAAATCAGTGAAAAATGAAAAATTTTATATGAATTTGTGAAAATCGAAACATTTCACACGACAATTGAGTCGCTCAACATTGCAGTTGCGTTCTGGATAATTCTTAATGGATATCAAAGAAATCAAAACGATCAAAATAATAAGGTCCGTGTAGTCCGAAGGATATTACGTGACACGCAAAATCCGTTTGATATAATGTCCAAAGAAAATGTTTCAAAATATGTATGTACGTATCGGAAGATATCCAAGACTATTAATACAGAAAATAGGCCGAATATGTATTGTATGTGTGTATATCTCTTAGGATTGCGAGACGTGAGAAAATTTAGAATAATTTTTATTTTATAAATATATATACACGTTGGCATTCCTTAAGTTAATAATTCGAAATTGAAATAATACTAAAATTGCAATCGGAAACATATGTACAGAGTGTTTCACAAATTCCTCGCTCCTAGGATTTCACGAAGACATTGAACGGATTAAGATAAATATAAAATTCCCATATTGCGATGTACGCAACAACTGAGCTATTAATTACAGAAATGTAATGTAAGCTGCTCGAGCCAAGAGCGGCCCACATGATCTAATGACAGTTGCTAGCGTGCAAGAAGAAGAAGAAGAAGAAGGACAAGACGCCGACGAAGTAAAACACAAGTAAGCTGGTGAGGCACCCGGGCGAAAGAGACGGGGCTAGGCGACGGAACGACGGCTGACGAGAGATATAATCTAATCGGAAATTTCAAGGTAGTACTCGCTAAATATCTCCGCCATGTTGTCGCTGCAAATTCGAGTGTGTTGTTTTCACGCGCGTGAGCGTGTAATTAGCTCAAACTTTCTTCACACGATTCTTGCCAGATTTGAAACGACAAACTCGTCTCCAAAAAAAGCCTCAGCCAATCACGCTCGTATGCGTATAAATAACACATTTGGATTTGCATCTCGAATCTTTCGAGAAATATCGATACTCGCTCTTCAGGTTCTCACAGAGAATGTCTAAAAACCTCCCTCAAACAAGCAGTATCTGATCTTGAAATTTTCATGAATCCCGAAACTTATAAAGCGCAAGTTGGAGGAACGAGAATAGTTTCCTTCGCGGTATTTCATTTCAAGATGGCGCGTGCGCTGAGTATTCTCCACGTGCACAACATTTTTCGTAGGCACGTCTCGGGACATTTTTTATCAAGCACGACGAACTTCCGCGATAGAAAGTTTCCTGCGACCGGAGGCTGCTGTGGTTTAAAGTTAAATTGCAGCAATAGCATTGTTATCGGGCAGCCCTAAGACGGGCTGCTGGCATCCGTTTGTGACATCTGCCGCCGCGGCTTTGCGATTATCGGCAAATTCATAATTTTCTCGATTGCTCGCGCGATTTCAAGTGGCCATAATATATGGCGATAATACATGGCAATATGTAGCAATAATATATGGCAATAATATACGGCGACAATATATGGCAACAATATATGGCAACAATATATGGCCATAATATATGGCAATAATTCATAGAATATATTTTTCGTTACAAAAGTCAATGCAAATTTGCGGCATGCACAATGTAATAATAAAAGAGCTCTCTGCGAGCACTGAGTCAAACGCTCACCGATGATGATACTGATGATGTCCCGTTGCGTCCAACCAGATCCACCAATGTCCGTCCATGTCCGCAGCCGCTCTCCATGTCGCGCAGCATCCATCTTGCAGCGCGTCCCACGTTGATTGCTATATTTTCATCACACTTCCGCGACGCGGTCGATACTTGTATTAAAGCGGCGATATTTTCGTCAATCAACGAACGTTTTACGTCGACATCGGTGAAAACTTTTTGCGCGCTGCGAAACTCTATAAACTCGATCGGCGAGGAGCAAGAACCGTGTGAAAATTTATCGACTCGTCCAACGGATTTTTACGGCGCTTTTCGCGATCGCGTCTGAAAAGTCGCGAAAATCGCGAAAGTATCGATATCTACGAGAATATTCGCGAATGCATGCGAGGAAAGATTAGACAATTAGGAATCGGTCGCTCCGAGGGAGCGCAAAGAGAGAGAGAGAAAGAGCGGGGCAAAGTTTTCACGCATGATAGTTCCGTCACGACGAAGCTTACGTTCGCGATACTTTGGCGAAATAAGAATTTAAGTTTTCTTTATTAGCAGCGCGAGTAAAAACACGTATATTGACAACCGCGGTCGCGATATTCAAAGGCACGCGAGCGAGGATACCTCAAGCTCGGCGTGCGCTGGCGCAATTTCTGCGCGCATTATACGCTACTCGAGACAATAGGGATCGTGATGAATGGACAATATTGCCAAATAATTCTACAGCCTGTGTTGAAAATAAAAGAAAAGTAACCAACGATATCGGCATTTATGTGTATGAATATATTTTACATGGACAATTGAATATTGTCAAATAATTGTCGTGTCAAATAATTCTGCGGCTCGTTTGAAAAATGAAAATAAAGCAGCTAATGACCGTATCGCGTTTGTAGATATGAATATCTCTTATTCGGATGACTGAACATCAAAAGAGAATCATTCGATATTTTAAATCTCGTATGTAATGCAGGCCTACCGATTAAGTGATTCCCTGATTGTTTCGAGTAATGTATTTTATTCAACGTCACAAACACACACATGCAAGAATCTATTTGCAATTCGCATTGACTCGAACGATATTTTATCTCCCATAGTCCCACATCCGTCATGCGGAATTTTGTTTCTCTTTTCATTTTGTATTTACTCACCGAAACGACTTGCAGTCAGAGCCGGCCACGTTCCGCTTCAACTCTGTAACAAAAAATTCACATTCGCTCATCAGATCAGACCAACGAGTGCGGGCGAGTAAAAGAGTAGTTTACCCTCTGCGATCGTAATTCAAGTCGAGCCGGAAATTATATCCCAGCTCTAGATCGCCAAGGGTCAAACAGAGGACTATAGTAAACTTGTAAACTTACCTTCAAGCCGACTCTGCTTGGCCCGAACCGGATCCTCCGGTGCGGCATCCGCGTCCGCCGGATTGCTGTTGCTTTCCGCAACAACTGAAACAGAAAAATAATTTTCCCGATTGATAACCTGCGGTAGAGAGAGAATATCTTTGATCGGGACGAATCGAAAATACGGAAATATTTTGATACGGAATTTTTATCTTTATACTTTTGTTTCAACATTGAAAATTTAAATAGGACTTGAAGCTTTCAAGAGAGCTGATGAGGAACAAGTTGCAAAGACAAAGATCGTAAAGGGTTAAACACAGATGTGTAGAAAACTTGTAAACTTTACCTTCCGACCGACTCCGCTTGGCCCGAACCGAATCCTCCAGTGCGGCATCCGCGTCCGCCGGATTGCTGTTGCTTTCCGCAACAACTGAAACAGAAAAATAATTTTCCCGATTGATAACCTGCGGTGGAGAGAGAATATCTTTGATCGGGACGAATCGAAAATACAGAAATATTTTGATACGGAATTTTTATCTTTATACTTTTGTTTCAACATTGAAAATTTAAATAGGACTTGAAGCTTTCAAGAGAGCTGATGAGGAACAAGTTGCAAAGACAAAGATCGTAAAGGGTTGAACACAGATGTGTAGGAAATTTGTAAACTTTACCTTCCGGCCGACCCTGGTCTACCCGAAGCGGATCCTCCGGTGCAGCATCCGCGTCCGCCGGACTTGCTTCCCGCAACGTCTGGAACAAAAATTTAGCGTTCCTGGTTGGTAAGCTGCGATAGAGAAAGAATGTTTGGTCGGGATGAGTGGAGAATATTCGCTATGATTTTTTTTCTTCATTGACATTGAAAGTCTAGATAGGAGCTTTTGAAAGAGCTGACGAAAAAAAATGACAACAAGAAGCGGAGACAACAGTTGTGTGTTCTCGAAAATACTCTTTTATGAATGGACATTTAAATTGAGATTCCGTAACGAGACCGTAAACAGACTTGAAAGAAGCGCTGACCGAAAACAAAAAAGGTCGCAGTCTAAAAGGAAGGTATGACGTTGAATATTCTACACAAGACCGGTATACTCATACAGTTGGAAATTATTCAAAATGTTTGATTAAGAACATGATGAATTAGAGATCCGCGTTCGTGGACCGTTATCCGTCCCTGTCTGGATCAATGTCTTTTGTATACAACAACGCAATAAATAGACAGACAGAGATTGACGAGAGTAATTGCAAATTCATAAAGTGATGATTACTAGTCGGATGATGACGGATTGTGAATGCCGAGCGCGAAATTCCGACTTCTTATTCCCGGAAAATTCGTCAAACATCCGCTCTCGTTATCGGAGACCTCCCGCATAATAAATGATTCCACATACCTGGAAACGTGACGTGTATCGCTGCCGGCGTTCTGCTTCCCGACTGCTGAAGTCCTCCGGATTTTACTCGCTCACGCTTCTAATGCCGATACTCGCGATTCGACCGAGCGGGTAATGAACGCGATGCCGACGCGATGCCGATTGAGTATCTCGAGGACCGACGAGATATATTTCTTTTAATTACACGAGACGGAAGTGACGAGCGCGTCGCGCACGGCTGCTGTTGATGGAATGAAATCGAATACACGAGGTGCGCGAGTATTGTAATAGGAAGGGCAAAAAGTGTCGTCGCTCGCGAGCCGATCAACACAATCGGCGCGATGTAAACATTGCGGGCCTCGGCGGCGGTCGAAGCAAGAGAAACTTGCCCTTGGGCGTCTTTTCTTTCTTCGAAGATTCCGGGACGACGAGGGGAATGCGAAGAGGCCTTTCAACTGTACGCGACATTGATTTACTATTTATTGATTACTGAAAATAAAGAAAATTATTCTGTCGAAGCATCGGATATTTGTTAGCTTTATGTTAATTAAAGAGGAATGTGTACGATTAGAAAATGTGTTAGCAACTAATTGTACAGGGTGTCAAAGTTCTTGTGACGCCGTTTTCGGAGAACAATTAAAGGTCATGGTAGCGTTAAAGAGTGGAATTTTATCCCATGTGAATTTTGTCTCGTTCTTATTAAATGTTAGTATAAAATGTCGTATTTAAAAAGTATTGTTTCGCATTCACGAGATTTTGTCGTGAATTCTGCTTTGCGGAAATCTCAGATTGAATCGCGGGCCAATACTTTTCAATGCGACGGGGAATAAAACGTGAAAATCTTGTATGCCTTTGAATCCGAAAACAATTAAGAGAAGAAGTGAATACTTTTCAATACGAAAGTTCGCATTTGAAAATTATCGATTGCGATTGAATACAAGGCATATTTGCAATGAATTGAATCCTTATTAATGCGAAGCATTCACCGCTGCCATCTCGCATTTAGCGCGGTGAAATTTAATGGGAACTAATACTTTTTAGTCCCTTTCTTCGGATCAGAAAGCAGAATTCAGACGTAATTCAAAATGTCAATACTTTTTAATATGTTTCAGTTCGACATTTTATACAGGGAGATTATCCGCTGCGGACAATAACTCTTCTACTTTTCATCTAATATTCAATGATGATGAATAACATTTAATTGCATTCGTTTGGCTTTTTTTATTTCGAAAATAAAAAAATACATACCAGGGTGAGATTTTACCCATGACAACATCAACGTGATTTTCTTTGATGCTTTTTTTAAAAATATTTCAAATATTTCATCGACTCGCGGGATATTTATAATCGGAGTTTCGTCGCGTTAATTAACACGTACTCCTCTGAGCGGATCGAATGCTCACCGACGGCCACTGTTAGTACCACGAGCGAATGTCCGGAGCGGACGGGATGCTGAATTAAGAAACAGGACGAAGTGAACGGGACACGGGCAACGATACATCATGCGTCTCCACACATGTTAAATTGTTTATTATAGAAGAGACTTTGATACGGCAATATATATTCGAAGATTTAACATTTAATACGTGCTTTTATTTTTTCTGCTCCTCCCCCCTCTCCCCACCCCCCCCCCGCTCTTTTTAGACCACCGGGCATAGTCTGGCATAGAGATGACAACTGTGGTTGCAGCACGGACATAAACCGCCTGAAAATGGATGTAGCATAGACTTTCACCACATACAGATTTTACCACCGAGACCTGAAAGTGGATGTACTATCGTAGTTCCCCTCTCAAAATGGATGCAGATGTACGTCCTTTCCCAGTGCGGAAAGTCGATGTCGCAGAAAATGTCGTGTTGGCCGCTCTCAGGTTTCTCTCTGCTATACGACAGTACCTGCGATTGACCAATGAAATCTCGATTTAAATAGCCGTACATAAGAGGAAGGGAGATAGGAGGTCTACATGTCAGTCACATCTTCGATAGCCTGTGAGAATTACGAAGCGAGGTTAAATCGGAGTGTAGGTGTAAACCATGTCAATTTATCTGTGACAAGTGCCACAAAGAGACTTGATGGGCGAAACGTAACATGACAAGAGCACGTAAAACGTGTTGCCGCTAATAATAAAACACTTTCGTGCGATTGACGATCCTTCACGATGACTGATAACTTAGCAAAAGTCTTCACAGCCGAGGACTTCAACCCGGAAAAGTGTGAGTCATTATTCGCATATACTTCGTTAATCGTTACGAGGTAATCGAATAATTCAATAATGAGCTACCGATCGCGTGGTAGCGTCAGACGATTGTACTTTATTCTTGGCCATGATATATTTGTTACCAAAATATCCTAAATCCGTGTTGTATTATTTTTAATCTAATACCTTGGCTCAGCTCTATCACATTATCATAATTCTCTCCCCTTTTACAGTTGTGAAAGAACTCAGTGCACAATGTGTCGGTGCAGACGAGCTGAGGCAACAACGTGCCAAAATTCAAGAACTTGCGAACAACACATCTGCTCAGTTGAAGCGAAATGTTTACCAAAACTATATGCAGTTTATCGAAACTGCCAAGGAGATCTCACATCTGGAGAGCGAGATGTATCAACTGTCTCAGCTGTTGAGTGAACAACGTGCCTTGCTGAGTACACTGGGGTCCACTAGAACAGCTGGTGTTGTTTTTGAGGATCTGTCAGAGTCGCAACAAGATAACTCAAATGATACTGTGTCCAAGGAGGAAGAACAGAAACAGAAGCTGGTTCAATTAATTGAGAATGTAGAAGGCGCTCTGGTTGGTCTTTGTATTTGATACATAAGATACATATCCTAATGAATGGGAATAATTTAAATCTTTCTTCCTACAGAGCTTAGCTGAGACTCCAGGACGCGTGTGTCTACACGAAGGCTCTCTGCTTGAGTTAGATCCACTCGAAGGAACACCACTAAAGAGAATTCATGCCTACTTGTTCAACGATGTTCTGATGATTGCATCTTGGCTGGCAAATGGTAGCAAACGTGGTCCACCTAGATACAAAATGCAAGCTGTTTATAACCTCGAGAGTTTAGCAATCGTCAATGTGAGAGATCATGGCACTGTGAAGCTAGCATTCAAACTTCTGGCATTTTCTGACACGAGAGTGTTTCAGTGTGCTACAGCGACAAGTAAAGTTAGTGCGTTCAGATGCGAAAACCAACGCGAGACATGCAGTGTAAAGTAAAATTGCTTGAATCAATTCTTTCTTGCAGAAAGAGTGGTTGGATAAGTGCGAGCAGGTGAAGAGAGCAAAATTAGCTGGGGAAAATCCGACCGATGTTCCAGACGAAAGTAAGCACGTGAAGGACGAGAAAGTGGTGCCATCTCGTTCGATGTCTTTGGATTCGAATACACTAGGTAAATTACTTGCATTAACATGATGTAATAAGATATTCTAAGATATATATATATATTATCTCTTTGAAGAACGTATTCGTGTTTAAGAACAAATATCTATCGAAACTCGCATATTTTAAAGTTTAATTTCTTACATTTCTTTCTCAAACGCGTTTCTTCAGGTGTATTTGGTTCATGCGGTCTTATAATTTTTCCATCAATTGTTTATCATTAGGCATTGACGACGACGACGACTCAGAGTATCACGAACCACCACCAGAGTGGGTGCTGGAAGTAGCTGAAGATTTGGATTCTTGTATAGCGCAGCGTCACTTCGAGGAGGCTTACAGCTTATTAGAGAAGGCAAAGACCTACTTGAAAGACACTCAATCAACACCGTTGCTGACGGAAATCCAGACGAAGGTGAACGAGAGGGGTCGTTCGCTAGTCAACGTGCTCACTAAGGAACTGGAATCTAGCGCGGAAGCCAAGTCATTGCAAGGCGGCGGTTTAAGAAGCGCGCGACGCGCGGTTAAGCTGCTAATACAGTTGAACAGAAGCGCACAAGCGTGCCATTTATACCTGCGACTGTGCAGCGCGGTGTTGAGGGCGCGATTGAAAAGGATCAAGAGGGAAGGCACGACCGTGGCATATGTAAAGCAACTCAGCGCGATCGCCTTTAGCAATATAGTAGAAATAGCGAGAGAGTTCCTGAAGACCTTTCCCCAATCAACGAATTGCACTTCCGGTAGTAAATCAAGCGGTTGATGAAGATTGTGAGAGGTATTTACAATGATTAATTTGTAATTTCTTTCGTTTCTTGTTCAGGTTTAGTTCTATGGTGCAGTCAAGAAGTGAAGCACTTAACGTCGCACTTAGCCAAGCAACTTTTCCTGCCGCAAGTTACGCTGAGTACATTGGTGGAGTGTATCGTCACTGTTCGAAGTCACTGCGATCAGGTACATGCAATAGAGATTAGTATGCTTCGAAGAAAAAAGATACATTTAAATCGCTCTATTGCTTGCTATAAATACAGAATTCTTGGCGCTTATCACTCCCTGTGTTACAGAGATTCGATATGTCATTATAATCTAATTGTCTATATTCTATATGCAAAACAATATAATAAGTACAAGTAAATTAGCAGGAAATTGTGTATAATTAAATATGAAAGTTTTATATGTACATATTACAATATAGACTCATATTTTGCTTTCTCTTTTTCTTACCAGTTAACTCAGCTCGGCATGGATTTTCGTTACCAGTTGGATGGCCAACTTAGGTCTCCATTAGCCAAAGCTATCCAAGACGCGGGGGAGAACTGTGTCGGCACGGTGAAGCTTCACGTGGCGGAAGACACTTGGCGACCAACGAATCTGGAAACTAGTCAAAATCTCCAAAAGTTTTTATCAGAACTGGAAGATCTCGGTATCGGTATACCGCCCTCGTATTCGACGAACGACTGTTGGATACCATTGACTCACAATACATTAAGCTTCTCCAAGGTCTACATCAGCCTCTTAGAAGACTGCCTCAGCGTAGCAACGCCTGAGCTCATGTCCGCGATAGATAATGTACTTGTATCCGTGATGCGAATCGAAGTTCAACATTTGATTGTCTCGCTTACGGATCCGAAATTAAAGCAAGAGGTAACGAACATCATTACATGCAAACTCGAATGCTTTACTACAAACGTATTTTATATTTATATGATTTACTCCTTTTACAGCGAAAATTAGTACAAAATAATGCAGCGTACGTGCGAGACATTATTATCGCCCGGGGCCTGGAATTATACAAATCTACGACAAATCAGAAATTTACAAAACTCCTTGCTCTGAAAGAGCAGATTGTATTCGAATCTCCGTCGCCGACGAAGCCAAGGCCCGCTCCGAGAACTTCAGTTCCTAAATATTCTACCACGGAATATCTTTAACTGGAATAAAAACGTTACGTTGCTACAAATTTAACGATAGAAGTGTCGCAGGGACAAAGTGCTTATGTATGTGCGAAATAATGTATTATATTGTACATAATGTGTGACCGAGTCGCTTTGGTGTAGCAAATACACAATATCATATTGAGATGGAACAAAAGCGCTCCGTCTCACGTCTAATGCAGGTACACATTAGTCGTAACACCGTCGTAGAACTTTTCTAGGATGCATCTTTGTAGGATACATTGAACAAACGAATGCGACGGTGCCCTAACAGTGCGAATAATACAGTCTGTAATAACGTTGTAATATACCTAATAGATATTTACAATGAATTGCACATAGGTAATTCATGTGTACGCCTATGAGATTATTTATATAATAGCACTATTTTGTACTATTATCGCTCGAACTGCTCGTTTGGTTATTTGCTTCCAATTTCCTCCTCTTGGCACGTATGTCAGCTAGAGTTTGTTCTATGCTCCTTTGATCCTTCTTATTTTCACTAGGAACTGGGGAGGAGAATTCTCATGACGATATATGTCTCATAGATGGTAATGTAACATGTTAAAAAGCTTAGGAAGATTTTCAGATAAACGATTCATTCACATATATACTTACCACATCCATAACTGCTATTAGCTTCTGTCTTCCTAGCAGCTTCCAACGCAGCCTCTTTGCCAATCAAATGTTGATACTTATCCTTGTAATAACTATTAGGTACAAATTTCTCTTTACTTTTCTTAGATTTTGCATACTCTGCCGCTTCCTTAGCTTTCCTTTTTCTCTCTTCCTTCAATTTCTTGGCAACTTCTTCATTCCATTCTTCACCTCTACGTAGTATATATAATTGATCTTCAGAAGGAGCATATTCCCTCTTGAAGATCATAATATATCTGTCGACATCTTCCTCACCAAAGGTATATGCCAAAACATTTGCTACTTCTGCTACGTCATATCTAAAGTTGAAATAAAAAATTTACTTTTGTCATGCAGAATATTTTGCATGTATATGTAACTTCTACTTTAATAAAGACAATATGCTCGCACTTACACAACGCTTCTGTGTATTTTGCTCATGGCAGGAAATTTGTATTCTTTTGCACTGTCATCTTGTAGAAACTTATTAATTTTCTCTTCTACCTACGTAGAGAAGATAATATCACGTTATACGAAGATGACACGCAGTGCAGAAATATTAAAACACGACCGTAAAAGTTTAACCTGTTGCCGGAAAATCTTCATCTTTTCAGCCTCGATCTTCTTCTGCTTCTCATATTCTTCCTTCTGTTCTGTGTAATACGAAGAAATTTAAGTGAGTTTACAATTTTGATCAGGCCGTCCATTTGTTTACTAAACCATACATTGGTAAGGTTAAGGTACTGTTAACATTATACTCAACTAACTTTTTATGAGCGCCTTCTGCTTGTCGCTCATTGTCGGTGGTTTATCCATAGAATTCAAAATAGATCCCAGTAAATCCATAGTTCTAACGTTTGATTCAGTCTTGTCGATATCGCAAAAAGACAATTTGCAAACTACAATCCTTTCGTAACTTTTGCAATCTTAAAATGTAAGGTGCATCAAAGGTATCAGTTTCGAGTATAAATGAGTGCAGATAAGTTCGTACACTTCCAAACTTTACGCGTAGATGGGAGATTAGACTTTGCGGATCAAAAATTACAATTCGGATTCAAAATTTAGATCAGCGGGCTAGACATCTTAGAATCAAAATTTTAACTTTGACTTACTTTACATTAGTTTGGAAAGTACCAATCTTCAATTATAATCCTCAATTTCACGCCACCCAATCACTTGCTACATTCACGAGTTTAATAAATAAATGACGATTCAATGAAGTACAGCCAGTACAAGAAAGTGCATTTAAAGTATTTAGAAACAAATAAAACGCTCTGTATGCTTCTGCGGGCGATTTTGATTGTAAATATCATAGTTATAACGTGATTTTTAGTGTATTTTCAAAAAACGGGAAATGCTTTTGGTTAACTTGCGGGTCTCCAGCAAATCTCTCTACAGATCCTTCTGTAGGTTCTTAACATTTCAACTGATTATTTAGCACTGAAATATATATAATATATATACATATAAATATATAAATATATATTATTTAGTTATTATCCAAACCTGCATTATTTTCTTCAACCTCGCCCTAGTCCCTAGTGCAAGAAATTAAGTTACCAACCTTATAACTTTAAATCACGTCACTGACGAGGCAAAAATAAAGACCACCAGCCCTGAATAAATTTTAGGGTGTGAAATATGAGCTCGGTGCGTCTCGCGGTAATTGAAGGACGATGATATTATCGACTATTTTCAATCACCCGATATAAATTTTAGCACTTATTTAGCATACAAATAATTTTACAATTTACAATTATCGCGATGGTATGGACATGTATAAACGCGTATATATAAACGATATATATAAACAATATATATAAATGTAATAATATAAAAGTGTTAATAATATAGTGTGTTAATAATATAAAAGTGTATATATAAATGTAAAATAAAATGTATTATATATTTATTATTATTTATACCAAATTGATACAAGATATGCCGATATAGCTTATGAAACATCGAAACATTTTCGTATAAGTGAAAACCGGTAAAACCTGATCTTCGGCGTTTATCTTATCTCATTACGTATCCGCGATAACAACAATGGAATTCACAGCATGGAAGCATTCCACAGGATAGGATAGCATTCCACCGTGTCAAACGTTGAGCCGAGAGTTCATCGTCACTTGTCGGGTTTATCATAGGCGGGTGCCCGAATATCCGATCGAAACGTAATTTCTCCGTCGCATCGTTTCGAATCTCGCGCATTTGGAGAAACAGTCGATGTTTTGATCTCCTCCGTAGTTCCGGTGTTGAGTGCGGCAATAGCGAGGCAACAGCAGCAGCAGTAGCAGCAGCAGCAGCAGCAGCTAGCAGCAGCAGCAGCAGACCACGGGGGACGCACGCACGCACGCGGAGTAGCGGATACGCGCGTGTACGCGAAGTGTACGCGAAGTGTGCGACAAATAACTATTTTTTTAAACCCGTCCCTCGGCTCGGTTCCCCCCGGTGTCCGGATCAGCGCGCAGCGTGTGTTGCGACGTGTCCCGTAGCGCGTGTTACAACCGAGGAATATATTAATTTAACCCAGTCGCGGCCGGCTGTCGTGCGTGCCGAAACACAAACCCGATTATAATATGGCGAACAGCATAGCACCGGACTCGTGGGAACAGCAGGCGGACAACAACGGCGACATCGTCGCGGGACCGCCGCCGTCGGCGCAGGACAGCAAGTCCACCTCCATCGAGAGCAAATTCTCCACTCTCAACGTGAACGCCGCGGAATTCGTGCCTTCCTTCTGCATCAATTCGTCGCCGCAGAACAACACCGCGACGGCGACCGACAGCACCTGCAATGTCGCCGCCGCCGTGATGAATACCGTAACCACCACCTCCATGCCTGCCGAGATACATCATGGTTAGCATGTCAGCTGAATTCCGATCGTCGACAATGTTCTATACGGTGCTCGCGACACCCGATGTCGAGGGCGAATTGCCGCGCTCGTGGAATTATCATTGTTATGGTTCTGCACGCCTCCTCCCGAACTAACCCCCTTATCGCTGATGTCACCCTTGTTTCTCTTGGAAAAGGCTGGAGGGAGATGTAATTGGTCTCGTATATTTTTGCAATGTCTCGACAGGGGCTATCTCCTTGATGGAGTGTCCTTGCTTAACAATATGTCTAAGCATTGTATCTGAACACCATATGGTTTGACTTGTTTAGTCTAACATTCTTTGTTGGGAACTTCTGTTGGAGCGTAACTTTCTCTTTCCATTAACACTGTTCACTAGCTGTATGGTTTTGTCGCTGCGTGTGAATAAACACATATCTTGTTAAATTGGAAATTGTAACGATAGGAAACAAGGTAATGTTAATGCACGTACGATAGGTCACATTGGTAACATATGAATATATTATATTTGTGAATTTTGGATAAAGCTCAGTTTATCAAAACAATTTGATATAACTACAAGAAAATGTAGTACTCGATACTCTCTTTATTCACAATAATCTTTAGCTTTCTATAAATTATATCGAGCACATTGTAAGAGAGTGAACATATGTTTCCTTTCTTTTATATTCACAGGAAATTCTACTCCTGTTGTTCTATCAGATCCAATTGGAAGTCGAGTTGAGGAACCTCCTGCTGGAGGAGGGGCACCACCTCCGAATGTTAACGACCAACTAAATACCAGTCCAGAGCATCAGCCTGCGGACTCTTGGGAAGAAGCAGCAGTAGATGGCGATCCTTTGCTCACTCCTGAAAATGAAGAAGTAAGTGTAAATTATATAAGTATAAATTCATCTCTAGCATGTTCAACTTTAATGCTCTCACACAATACTACATGTTTGTATCATATAATAACATCTAGAATTTCTCGACAGAAAGGTTCCTTCAGCTACATATTTTCTCTTGAAGAAAAAAATTTATTTATTCTGACTTATGAAGTATCAATAGAATTTCTGTTAATTTATTATAATGAAGGAATAGAATTGTTATTAATTGTATCAAATATTGTACTGTATCAATTATATCAAATAGAATTGTTATTAATTATATCAATTATTATTAATTGATATCAAATTACTAGTCATATTAATTACAGTTTACATGAAAGTCCCATCTATACGTAATATTATTTTCAGGCTGATAATGAGGAGGATGAAGAACTGGTTGTTAAAGTACCTAAAAAGAAACCTGTCAAAGTAGCGGAAGACACTAAAAGCAAAAAGGAACACGTTAACGTTGTTTTCATAGGTCACGTGGGTGAGTGATAAATCTGAATAAAGAGAACACATATGTATAGTCTACCTTTGTAGAATAAAGATATATAGAGATATCATAACATCATCGCAATCATCTACTCAGTTACTCTAATGATTGCAACATAAAATGCAATCTGCTGTTTAACCCATACTATTTACACGTATACATATATATTTCACTTGTTAGATAATATTGTATATGTATGTGATGATTGTAGACGCTGGGAAATCAACTATCGGAGGCCAAATTATGGCGCTTACGGGGATGGTGGACAAACGCACCTTAGAGAAATACGAACGGGAGGCGAAGGAAAGAAGTCGAGAAACATGGTACTTAAGTTGGGCGCTGGATACAAATCAGGAAGAGAGAGAGAAAGGCAAAACAGTGGAAGTAGGTAGAGCGTACTTCGAGACGGAACGAAAGCATTTTACGATATTAGATGCTCCCGGCCATAAAAGCTTCGTGCCCAACATGATCGGCGGTGCGGCGCAGGCCGATCTAGCTGTCCTTGTTATTTCTGCAAGAAAAGGCGAATTCGAGACTGGCTTCGACAGAGGGGGTCAAACGAGAGAACACGCTATGCTTGCCAAAACTGCAGGCGTCAAACATCTGGTTGTGTTAGTTAATAAGATGGATGACCCTACTGTCGAGTGGGACGAAGGACGATACAATGAATGCAGGTGCGCACAAAATGCTATGTAATTAATACCTCTGAGTCTTCCTTCCGAGTCTCAGCTTTCTGCATTTTTCTGCAAATATTCGCTTCTCGTTTCCTTGGAGTGTCTAGATACAAAAATAGAATCGGATAAGTGGGGAAACGGGGCAAGTATAAAAGTAAATAATAGAAATAAATGGGTTAATAAATTCTAAACTTTAATATGTTAATTCAATGAAGATCATCAAGTTTTCATTGATGTTGAAACTGATTTAAAAGTTCGCGAATAAAATTGCTTGTCCCAGTCTATTCTACGTTTGAACGCAGAAAATGTAATACAGTATAAAATTGAGAAAAGTATTTACTTATTGTTTAGCACATGCATATCCATTTTTCTTGATTCGTGCGAGTAACAATAAGAATAATGAGACAATAAGAGTAACAGTAAGAATAATGTGTTTCTTCAGGGATAAGATACTGCCATATCTTCGTAAATTAGGATTCAATCCTGCGAAAGATCTTACGTTCATGCCGGTCTCTGGACAGCTCGGTATTGGCCTAAAGGATCCGATACCAGAGCATCTGTGTAATTGGTACAGCGGCCCGCCATTTATACCGTTTATCGATTCGTTACCTTCGCTCAATCGCAAGAGCAATGGACCCTTCATTATGCCGATTGTCGACAAATACAAGGACATGGGGACAGTAGTTATGGGCAAGGTCGAAGCGGGAGAAGCCAAAAAGGGACAGTCGTTGCTCGTCATGCCGAATAGGGTATGCATATTTTTTACGGCTGAGCCAATTCTCATCTCGCATCTTAATATCCAATCATAGATGATGATCAAAACCGTCGTATTTCATAAAAATTTCTACATGCCCCTCGCTGTAAAAGTTGACGTATGTCTCCAATTTAGCGCGGGTGGTTTTTTACTGCAATTAAATAGAGATTTCACAGCCACGTGCTTTTTAAATTCATATTTTATAGGAAATTGACATTTTATAGGAACAAAACAAAGAATGATACACATTTACGAGAATATGTTTCTTTGTAAATCTGTAGACGGCTGTGACGGTAGATCAGTTATGGTCGGATGATGAAGAAGTAACGTCAGTCGGACCCGGTGAAAACGTGAAAATCAAGCTGAAGGGTATCGAAGAAGAAGACGTGAGTCCTGGATTTGTCCTTTGCGACAGCAACAATCCAATTAAAACTGGAAAGGTTTTTGACGCGCAAGTTGTGATACTGGAACATAAAAGTATTATTTGCGCGGGATATAGCGCAGTCATGCATATTCATTGCGCCGCGGAGGAAGTCACGGTGAAGGCACTGATTTGTCTGGTGGACAAGAAAACAGGCGATAAAAGTAAAACGAGGCCGAGGTTCGTTAAACAGGATCAGGTGGCTATAATGAGAATCGAATGCGCGGGTGTAATATGTCTTGAAAGATTCAAATTATTCCCGCAAATGGGCCGCTTCACTCTTAGGGATGAAAGTAAGCACGATCATTTCTTTCTCTAAGTTTCTTGTTTGCATATTACAATACAGTAATGTGTACGTAATTTCAGATAAGACTATCGCAATTGGCAAGGTGCTGAAGGTCGTGGAATAAGAATCTTGCTTAAATGTTATGACGGGTGGATAATGAAAAAAAAAAAAGAATGATCATTATTTCAATGTGACGAATAAATGACGATGCAAGGCGAACACACGATTATTAAGCAAACCAAATGGGCATGATAAAATTCCAGCGAATTAGTAATGTAACATACATACACGTACACACACATACGTGCACGCACACGTACACACATACACACACACACACACAATTCACTTACGCAGAGCTATACATACAATGCGTCGCGAGCGACAGCGGGCAAGGGGATCGGGGAGGGGGGAAAGGGAAAAAATATTTATAGCGCCTGATATAAAAGCAAATAGATTCGATTATATAGGTAAGGAGACATACACAACCGAAACTCAAGAGCGTGTGTTCCTTTTACTAGATAAGCTGGATGATGGCACTCGCATTGGAATAATTATAAATGGATAATGATCAAATATTAACCGTGTCTCCTTGATAATAATAAAAAAAACACGATATTTTTATTCTTCTGAGGTGCGATACATAAGTGGAAGTACAGTAGGAGATTGATATCGATCGCGAATTAACATTTAAAAAAATATGAGTAATATTATTATAATTATTATTAAATATAATTATTATTAAAGTGGTGGTAAGAGTTGGAAAAGAAATTTATTGAATAAATCAACAAAATAGTGTTATACACACACTTTATAATTATAAAATTAATATTACGATTATTATTATACTGTTTCTTATTATATTGTCATTAAAAACAAATTTGCAAAAAAATGTGCCCTAATAATTTTTAATAGAGTTGCGAATGTACGCCGTCTACATTTTTACAATATGACGGGTCCCGTACATTCAGATTATTCGAGCCAGTTGAATAAATGAAGTATAGCACATGAGAGATTATAAATATGTCCGAATAAGTAGTAACATTCGTTTGTATTTTTGTATATTTCTATGTAAATAATAATGTATTTTCATCATCTATATCGCAGCCAGATATGTCGATGGCGAAAATGTGCTATACGTGTCTTAGCTTGTTTTTTGTTATGTAGCGATCGTTAAAGCGTAAAGATAAAGTGAAGATAAATATTTGTAAGAAGTAAAAAGAAATCATATTCCAGTTGTTCGTAAGACAAAGTTGGCTGATCGAGTTTTCCAAGTTCTCACGTATCTTGCGTCGAGAGAGAACACTCGTTGATTACTCGAAAATTTTCTTAAATATATAAATTACATCAGCTTATATTGCACAACAGGCTTGCAGTCAAGGATGTGTCACTCCTTGAGAACTGTGGCGATCTATTCCTAGGCGTATATTTGTTATAGATATGTCTTAAGAACCATATTTTGTACAAGTTTTATAAAGTATTGTCATTGTGGGTCCGGGGCCAGTTTCGCGTATCCAAGTTTCTGGAGTACCTCCTTAATTTCGTGAAATACTGTTGGATCTTCGATCGTACTTGAAATCTGAAAATCATTTTTTATCATCACATCTTATTGTTAATAGCTGGATAACACTTAGAAAAGGCTGCTGAGATCAAGTTGAGGTAAGTTTTTTGTTCTCGTGTGTTTTCCGCTACATATTCACTGTACAAACACAATTCAAAAGAGTTGGGCCATTTTCGTTATACTTATTTCCTACCTTAACTTGTTTCGACCGCGCCAACGAAGCGATAGATTTGCGAATTATTTTTCCAGAACGCGTTCGTGGTAACGCAGTAATCGCAGCGGCGACTCGAAAAGACGCGATTGGTCCCATCATGTGTCTCACCCGTGCCACCAATTCTTGATTTATCTCTTCTTCGTTACTCGTCGCATCTGTAAACGAATATTCCGATGTAACATTTTCGCTGGTGTATATTAGTAACAACGTCTCGGAAAATCATTATTTGCTACAACTTTTCAAATTTCAAAGTTTTCTAATTCTTCTACTCTTATATTTTTCTAAAAATTAAAAAAAGCACCAGATCGAGTTATAAGTAACTTCCATTGCATCTGTCTTCAAATGTATTTCTGTATAAAGTATGTGAAAATTTACACTGGAATTTAATGCACAAGTGTGTTTTTAACAGTGCTCATAATCGTGCATAATGTTCTCATTAACAATCAGCTTACCGACTATTTTTACAAGAAGATAAGAAAAATTAATATTTATCGTCTACAAGAATTTATGAGGAGAAAATTATTCGCGATTCTTGTGCGATTATTCTTATTGGCCTCAATTAATTCTTAGCGATTGTATATCTGAGAGTCTCGATGTATCCAATGTTGCTTATCGTTTTCCGCTATTTATGACTCTACGCTGATGTTCGCTTCATTCGAGAAATAAATCGAGAGGTGTACACGGTGATAACGAACCATAACGCTTCACATAAAGGCACAAAGGTACTTCTCCCTTCGTATGATCCGGCACACCGACCACTGCGGCATCCACTACATCGTCGTGAGCTAAAATAATATCTTCCAATGCAGCCGTGGATATTCTGTGACCAGCTACGTTTATAATATCATCATCTCTCGCCGTCACGTAAATATGGCCCATCTCGTCAATGTAACCAGCGTCCATCGTATCATAGTAACCCTGAAAGTTTATCGCGTAAGTATCGCAAAATTGACGTACATGGTATAACGTGACTTAAGCGACAGATTTCCCGACGAATTCGCTGGAGTTTGTTGCATCGCGGCACCGAAATTGCATGCAATCGAAAATCAACGATCTTTTCTTTCTCGCGAACTCTTCATTTTCGAGATCGCTGCTGAGAATAATAGAATCTCAATGTTCAGAAAATAAATAGATCAAATTTTACTCCAACTACTCGAGCGATTAAATTTTACTCTAACGACCGGTTAAATTTCCCTTTCGTTCGAATGCAATTTTAGCCTTTAGTCAGCAATAAAATGATAAAATATGTGAGAAAGGACATTCGTCTGTTTTCGTAGACGAGACAAAATCGCTGATTAAAATGCGCCGAATAATTTGCGTCTGCCGGCAGATACATTTTCTCCATGAAGTTATCAACATGATAATGTGTGTCGTGTTAAGTTACTCACTGGGAACCTTGAGAAGTACACTTCCTTGAACCTGTCGAATGCCCGATATAAGGTTGATATGCATCCAGGTGGTAGCGGTAACTTTATCGCGATTCGCCCGAGTTCGCGCTGCGACGCTATACTTCCGTCTTCGCGCAGGACGTGGACTGTGGATTGATGAATTTGCGACTTACGAATAAACGGCAGATTCACACGCAGGTATATAAATTGACAGAATTAATCGGTATCGCTTAACAGAGGAAGCTGATAAACAACTCCGAAAATATTGTACATGAAAGATAAAGCGAAAGATAACTCGAAGACTCACTGTTGTATCCGGGTATAGGAAGTCCAGTGCTGAATTTTGGCAAACTAGGGTGATGACCGTATCCTAGGCACAGTGCCGTGATGGGGTGTCCAGTCTCCGACTGCCACCAATGGTTCAAAATCGGCACTTTGAACACCTGCTCGGCCCAGGCCTTCGTCTCGTAGTCGCAAAACTCGCCGGCCACAAATATCGTTTTTAAGCTGGAAGCAGGAAAGAGAGAAAAACCGCGCATAAAGATGTCGTCTTGACAGCTCTACGAGGGGAATTACTCCCAGAGTGGCTCGGGGAAGCTACAAGAGTGCTTTGTGTAAACACGTCTCTCTGATTCGCAAGAAGATGTTTATATAAATACACGTTGTCTTTGTAATAAATTGAATCGAAATTATTGCTGCGTTGCAACGCGAAATTTTCATGCGGCCTTACGATATTGATCTCTCACATATCGACACAGGCGAGCTATCTGAGCTATTCGTCTCATGCATATTCTACCGGCGGTATCGCTTCTTTCCCGAAAGAGATAGGTCGGGGAGCGCATCGCAATGTACATCACGATATGTGATTCGTGCCACGTGTAATTTATGATACTCATTGCAATATGATAAGATCACCACCTTCATGGCGCGCGACCGCCCTTAAATTATTAATCCTGCTCCTCCGGCTTCTAGTTTTGCATTTTCCGCAGCGCGTCGTGATACGTACATCACCGATAAATATCACCGGTGCATATCTGGCTTTCTGAAAAAAGGCTGACTCTCTAAAACTAGACGCGAGCGATACGAGATATGTTTTTTGCAACGAAACGTTCAAAGGTGTAAAAGTAACTCGCAAAAGGATGCACGCACGGGCCTGAGAGTATGATCGAGCGAATATTAAAAAAATTTATATATATATATATATATTTATTTTTTAATTTTTTTTCATTGAAAGACAGAGTATAAAGTGATACGCAATGACGATATATACAATTAACCGCGCGTCACATGGAATACAAAACTACTTTTTTTATTTGCCGCGTGTATCGCAATTGTGTAAATCGAGGTAACCAAGTTAGCGTAAATTTACGTGTAAATTTATTAAAACTTACGACTTCAAAGAATATTTCCTTCCCAGAAGAGTTTCTGGATCCGATCGTTTTAGAACTCGCAATGCGGTGGGCACGCAGAATAACGCGTTTACGCCATGCTGCTCAATGATCCTAACGAAAGAAGAAGAAGAACTCGTTATCGAGTTATCGGCACGAAGCCCGGCATTGTATGGAAACAAAAGGATTTCATTCGCAAAATTCGAAAGAATGAGTTGCACATTCTTGTTTTCCGCGCAGAACGATTTTCCAACCTGAAATATTGACCTGCATCCGGTGTCCTGTCGGGTTTTCCTTCGTACATTATGCTCGTCGCACCGAGCAACAAGGGACCGTAACAAATGTACGAATGCCCGACAACCCATCCCATGTCGGATGCCACCCACCATATGGAATTTTTGTTCATTCCGAAAACCGTATTCATGGACCAACAAAGCGTCGCCAGGTGCCCTCCGATCGGTCTTATGATCCCCTTTGGTTGCCCTGAAATATCATTCTCGTAATCGTTTCCCTCCTCTTTGCAGTAGAAACACTGAGAAAAGATTTTGATAAAAAATATATTGACCAATTTTATTTACAAAAAATGACGGAGCAAAGGTCTAAATGTCAAGCGATTGGACGAAAATTCGAATGTACTTTGTATCGTACTTGATAATTATATCAAGTGTAAACAATGATAATTATATTCGCCGTGTAACAGCCGGGGCCTTTTCAAATTGGTTTTCAAATTGGAGAAATGAGAAGTGACGATATTAGCAAGAATTTTATTTCTAATCGTACTACTAGTATTTACTTAAAGACGTTACTCATCATTACCGAGAGAACAATCGCAGACCGGCGAATAAAGTTCTTTACACTAGAGGTCTTTATTGGGTCGAGGCAGGTATTTACCTGTGGTTCCCGACGTATATAATATATACAATGGATCGTTAGCCTCGACCATTACGCATGGATGAGGTTTTGACCTTTTCATGAGTTCGTCCCAATCGAATTGCGACTCAAACAACGGTGATTCCCACACGTTTCTTCTTTGAAATATGATACACTTTGGCCTCATTACAGCGATCATATCTAAGGCACCGTTCAACATAGCAGTGTACCTGCATGCCGAGAGAAGCAAGTTAAAAAGAAAGTATTTTCCAAGCAACGTGAAAATTCAATCATCCTAAACGACTGGGAGAATTCTAAAAGTCTCGATTATTTCTTAATGCATCGAACAAGAGATTTAAAGTTTATTAGAAATTTATCATAAACTTTTTAAGTCTGAATTTTTAAGTCTGCTTTGAAAATTTACAAATGTCAACGTTTGATGCAATCTTACTAAAGATATTAAATTTAAAATTTTTAATTTTAAAAGGTATTAAATTTTAAATTTTAAATAACGTCAAAGAGAGAACTGTTTTTTCTCTTTTTTCTCTTTTTTTACATTACAAGTATTAGGAGGTTTCCGATCGCGCGGTACGCGATAAGCAGCAGTTACGTGCGACTTGCATACGATTATTATTGTTATATAAAAAATTACCGTAATTTCTTCGCATACGCTGAATGTTTTTGTATTTCACTTGTATTCGTTCGGACATTATTTTATTCGCACACGAATCGAGTTTACGTATGAAGGCATGCATAAGTAAGCGCAGTCGCGTCGAATTACGGACACTTCAGTATTACGTACCGTAAAAGGCTCTTGAATGCCATAATATATTGTAATAAAGTCAACATTTATATTTATATTAATCCCGACAATACACTTATTAAAAAATAATGAGACGTACTTGATCACTTTGGACGGTTCCAAACCGCAACTTGCGGCGATAATAACCTTCGGTTCAGCATGATCTATCCTAGACGCCAGTTCGTTCGCTGCAAAACCTGAAATGCACAAGTACCGCGATGATATTGCATTCGACTTGAGAGATTAATCGCAACAATACGATACTCCGGAACAAGGGATACCTGCAAAACCATCTCTAAAAATAAACATCAAATTCGGCGTGTGTGTTGTGTCAACAATATTTTATAATTTTCTTTTTTATCTGATTTGTTCTCAAACACTTCGTAAATTCGTTCCAAATAAGAAAGTAAAATCGTCGTTCACAAACTGATGGCGGGTGAAAGTTGAAGCATATTGCGAATAAAAAATTAAGTGGTAAAATTGAGTGAAAAAAATTAACCCTTTAACGCTCGACTTCTTTATAAGTGTTTCAAGAATAAAATTTGAGTTTTTTTTTTTAACCGAGACTGTAAGTAGTGATAACCAAAGAAAATATCAGAATTTTATATTGATTTTTTTTATCGTATTTTATTCGTTTTTTGTTTATTAGTAAGTATGACTTGGATTCTAAAAGCATATACGAAATGAGCAACCTATACAGAAAAAATGAAGGGTAATCTATACGACGTAACTCTGACAGTCAGCTTGACATTTTTGAGCTGAAACTTTGCTATATTTGTGAGTGAAGTTTATCATTCAGAGCGTCAAGCTTTCTATTTCAGAAGAATATCTTATAGATCACGATTTAGACCATAGTCCCTTCATTTTTCGCCGCATGAAAATCTGTAGGTCACCAGGTTTCACGAAAACAGGTTGATTTCTTGATTTTCGTGTCCACCATATTGGATTCGCCATTTTGAATTTCTGTATTCTTTTAATTTCACACTTTGCACATCTGAGAAAGCTTCCAAATGTATAAAATTATAACAGATACCCATCTGTTCATTTATAGTGCACTTCTAGATGTCAGTAACAGTGCTAACTATGCCTACTTGGAATTTGACAAAACATGTTATCGTTAAAACTGATCTAAAAACAGACTAAACCGAATCTACATACAATCTATATACCATTTTTAAGAACTATATACCATTTTTATATACCATTTTTAATTAGAAGAAGAATTCACCTTTGCAGTGGTGCAAAGAAAACGAAAATATCTCCTACTTTGACTTGAAGTTATGGATTCTTAAATGCGTTTCTGGTAACTATAGTTAGCAGTAGGCGTCAAAGGGTTAAAGATGTAGGCGACATGGCGGTCAACGTGTCAACAACATTTCACCCTTGTGATTACCGTCGTCTCGTGATTATCGTCATTACCTCCAAAGACTACCGAATGAATCGCTCCTAATCTGGCTGTGGCTAAAATCGCGATTATCGTCTCGGGGATTAGTGGCATGTAGATGACTACTTTGTCTCCCTTGCGTACACCCAATTCCGCTAACGCGCCCGCCAGCAAGGACGTCTTCTCATATAGCTCGTTGTACGTCACTTTGCGTATTGACGATGTTTGCGGACTGTCGTGTATAAGAGCCGTCTTCTTCCCGTAGCCGGCGTATACGTGGCGATCTACCGCGTTGTAACAAGCGTTCAATTCTCCACCGACAAACCTACGTGGAAGGAGGAGAAACAAGGAAAAGAAAATAAAAAGACATGCCTCCCGTGTGAGAACCGTCGTGTGAGGATTACTTCAAACGGTCGGAAAGCTTATTTCCAGACGAAGCTTCCCGCAACTTTGCGGGAATCTCTGTCACGTTTGCTGCACAAGCGACAAAATGAAAAGTTGTCGCCGTCGTATGAGCCGTCGGTCTCGTGATGTGAGATTCAGCGCGCGTCGGACTACGCGCGTCGGTACTGAACGCGTTAATGTGAGATTAATTGCAGTGAGACTAGAAATATCTCTGACATTCGACGTGAAAATCGGATTCACGCGTAAATCGGTTTGTAACAACGGCGCTCGACATACCATTTCGTGAATGGCTCGTTAGAGTTGTCCAACACTTTGCGCCAAGGCTTGCTCCAATCGACGTACAGACCGATCTCATCCCAGAATTCCTCCGGAGACTCTAGGGACTTCCTGTATGCTTCCTCGTAGGCGGTACACCCGTTTTTATGGGGGCTCATAATGTAATCTGCACGGAGATGATAAGAACGGTGTTATAATTACTCTTCAGCGCGCACAAAGCACAACTGAGGCTGCGGGAAGCCAGGGAGGCGAAACGCAGAAGATCAAAAGTTATCTTTGGTAAACAGGGAATTACGCCGTATATGTGGAGCAATAATGTAGAAAATGTCGTGCGTGCTTTCGTTCTCAGGTCGTGCTCAGGTAGAACGGATTAAATTGAACAGGGAAATCCTCCACCTCTATGATATGATGCTGTCCATCACAGACATTGCCGATCGTTGTCAGAAGATCATCCGAGTGGACTTGAGCCATCTTGAATTTTGTCTACAGATCTTGTCTACCGGAATTCGTCGTCTTCCGCTTCTCGCGCATTTATTTATTCACTGATATCGTTTCTTCATCAGTTCTTCAATAGCTATTGCGAAACTTGCAAAAATGACCGAGAATTTTCCTATTCAGTTCGATCCGCCCTGCACACGATGTTTTGTCATCGATTGTTCAACATTCTGGATAAATAGAAGGCATGACTGTGGCATTGATGGACACAAATTACTGATCTGCACATTTTTCAAACATATAAGTATATTTTTTGTATCTAAATCGTTGTAAATAGTATCTTAAATATATAAATAGATCTTTGTCTTTGTAAATATATGTAAATAAGTCTTTCTCCGTAATACGTATGGGTAATATGTTGAGTTGGTGACAAGGTGGTTCAAATAACTTGTTACAAGCTACTTGGCCCATCTTATATCATAATTATAGAATATAGAATTTATCATATTTATAGAATATACCCGAGTTGTGTGCATATTGAGGGGTTTTAAAGGGCTATTATAAAGCGACAGAAATTGAAGTTCCGCCGCTAGATCTTTCGAGGATCATTACACATAGAACATTTGAAATTATCTAAATACAATCAGCCGTTGTCGCGTATGAAATTTCGCCTCTGGGGAAATATGCTCTGACAAAGACTCGAAGCTCGTTTCACGCGCTTCCTCAGCCCTTTTGACGGATTTGAGAATTGCGCTCTCGCAGATACACGGGAGAGAACGTGTCAAGTAGACGCGGTATCAGGCTCGTGGAGAATTTACGAAAAATCGTGCCAACGTGTTGACGCCTGTTTTGTATTCGACGGAAGTCAGGTTCCCCGACGTTGCGTCAGCGTGTCAGCGGAGTTGACGCGTCCGGAAAGATTTAAAGCGAAGCTGTTGATTTGTTTAATCGCCGTGAGATAACGGCGGACAGTGAATATTTCAAGATGCTGGCAACGCGGACCAGTGCGCGACGCTCTTTCACTCAGTATGAATAATTCATTTAATGCGATGCGCGATGCGTCGGAGAGTTCGCGGCAATTTTCTAGCCGAGGGCTCCGCCTGTGTGTTTTTTAGACGCACGCTCTGCATCTCGCTCCTTTCCCATGTGTTTATTTGTTTATTTCTGTGTATTCTGTGAATTACGAGCTTTCGCGCGACACGCTGCCTTAATACTGCGAGAAAATCGTAGGAAAAAGCACCGCTGGACCACCGTGGCCTCCCCGTGCCGTCCCGCTCCGTCTCGTCGCAGTCTCGTCTTGTCTCGCTCCAATTCACCGTAACCACGTATCCTTATGTCGTGCGTCGCTCTTCTTCGCGATCCCATGAGGATTCCATGAGAATATTTACACACCTTACGGAGAAACACGTAAGCGCAATCGGGAACGGCGGCTAGAAGTAAGACGTAGAGGGTCGCGAGCTTCAGCCTCGTACGACTCGCGTGGACGATCACTGTCCTTTCGGCCAAAGGGCATTAAAATAATTTGTTACCCTCTGGTTGTACTTACAACCCACGCAGCAAACGGACACGGTGGATTAAACGGCGGATGCCGTTGAATGAGAAGGCACGTGCGACTTTTCATCTAATTAGAAGTTAATACAGTTTTGATTAACAGGGAAACGCGACTAACGTAGTATGATTAGACCATAATTAATAAGATGAGAGTAATCAAATGAGACTGATCCGCGGAAAGAGAGAGGAAAGAAGAGACGGACAGATAGAATTATATTGTATTTAGAGATATTACATGCGCGCAAAGTTAAAGCGAGGAGAGATCGTCGTGTTAAATTTTCTAGCGATGAATATTTCAGCTTCGCGATCTCCCCGCTGCAAACATCTTTCAGGCAGATTCTCCGGGGGTTACAGCCGAGGAGTTCTCCGAGGATGTATCGGGTAGTTGCGGTGGCACCTTATTTCAGAGAAATGGAGACTTACGCAACGCGGAAGCAACTTTATTAGAGAAAGGGAGACAGGGAGAGAAGAGGAGAGCAGGCACCAGCGATGCTCTCGAAAAAAGAAGCTACGGCAGAATAACTGATTCTCGCAGGATCTTGCAGGTGCTCGGCGTCGTCTATTTGCAAGCCCTGATGTTATTTACTCGGCACTCTCATCTGTCTGTCGCGTTTAGCATTAAACGAATGTTTTATTCTGAAGCCGAAATACCCCACGTGAGATCCTTACGTGAGATGAAGAAAATGCGGAATGAAGCGACCGCATTTAGCGTCAGATGTAACTAACTTCTCTTGAATAGGCTTTTTCAGGACGAGAAGTATCCATTCCGATGCTGTCTCTAAGTTAAACTATACGAGCTTCATTGGCTCGCGCGTTGGTAAAAAAGTAAAAAAGATTGAATAGAAAGAAAAATAGAGAAGTAGAGGAATAGATTTATTAATTAGTTGTTTAATTAACAAACAGAAAGAGAGAGAGAGAGAGAGAGAGAGAGAGAGAGAGAGAGAGAGAGACCTAGAAATGAGAGAAGGCTGAGGGATAAATGTATAACGAAGCGACACGAAAACAACAGATGCGACCCGATAATTTAGTTCAAGCTGTAGATATTATTACCGATAAATACCGATAAATGTAATCTGCGTCTCCGTCTCTGCGATAGAATCCGCAATCGAGCACTAATCGAACAGATCTCGAACAAAATTTAGTCAATCGTAAATTATCCCGAGCTTTTAAAATCACTAATAAACAGAGTCCATGAGACATTGCAGGTATTTTCTTGATCGCGGCAATAAAAAGCGATCCTTCCTGAAGCCTGAAGTATAGGAACGATTTTGTCAGCTGCTAAAACGAAGATGTGAAAAATGTATATATTTATACAGACTTTCTACACTTTCGAGCGTTTGTACATATTAATCATATTATCACAAGTCTTATGTATCCCTTCGAGCCTTTTCTCCTGGATAATACCACCTGCTTCTGTTTTATGGATGGATTGAAAATAAATTTTTTCCATACTTCGTCGTAAAAACAGTCAACATTGAATATTTCATTTCGTCTTGTAAAACTCACACATTCTGGTTTGCTTATTTAAAATAACTCGGCTATTTCAACTTGTATCTTTCTTTATTTTATTTGTGAAACACAGCTGTACATACCGTTGCCGTCAGCTTTCCGTGACATTCTTGGTAGCACGATGCACGATTCTAAGCATGACTTCCCTGAGCTTTCGGACTTGGCGTCGAGGAAATCGGAATTCCTTTGGTGTAGCATCTTGTGATTAATAGGATGAATAACGTTCATGCGCAATATTCACAGCCTACCAGTACCAGTACCAGTAGCGTCTTCGTGCCCAAGTTGTGGGGTCCATCCACAGTGTGTAGCCGGCTACGTGTACATTTTTGTATATTTTGCAAGTGAAATAATAAAATATGCCTTCGCAAAAGTTAGAAGTGAAGGAAACATCGAACGAATTGTATTTACAAAAGTCAAATGCGTATTCGTTCTTTTGCGATAATATTATCAAAATTCCTTTGTTATGTTTGAAGGTTTAAGCGAATGTTAATCGAATCAGTCATACTTTTAAATTCATATTTTTAAACCAATTTATATAAATTTTGACTAAAATATGCTTTTCCTCAAGTGTTGTGATAACATGTTCAAAACAAGAAAAACATAATATTTGATGGTAAAATATCAACATACACACACACACACATATATATATATATATTGATATGCACGATATATATATATATATACAGGATGTACCAAAAGTCTAGAAACGGTCGAATATTTCATAAACTATGCATTTTAGAAAGAAATATTTCAGACAAAAGTTATTTGGCTCGAGGGGGGCCATAAGATGGTGTCATTGGATTGACTTTGAGTGAACGTTCCAAGGTCATACGGAGTTTAACTTTGTTTTTTTAAATAGAACCCCCTATTTTTCATTGCATATTCTTATAGCTCATCTCGAGAGTTTTCCAAAACACTATAAATAAATAAGTTATATTTTATTGAGTATTTTCCGAGTTATGGGCCTTGAAAGTTACAATAGTGCCGGCATTAGCCAAGGTCTACCGCGAGAGGTTGCACGATCGGATTTACACCTCTTGTGTATGTGTGTGTGTCACAGCAAAGATAAGCTACTTGTTCAAAGGATCTAACGTGATCATCATATCCTCGCATCATTCGCAGTAATTCTTTCTGAAAAGAATCGACAGAAGATTCAATGAATGCGGACCGTAGACTAGGGGAAAATTCAAATATTGAAATTATTATACTTTTCATAGTTCTTTTCCGATAAAAGTCTTGCTACATTACATCGATCTGATTTGACCTGTAGTCGAACGTTTTCCTATCCTGCATACATTCAGCTCTTCGTATTACGACACACTATCAAGCAACTAAGTGAAATTTCAGTGGCATTCAGAATGGTATTGTCCGAAAGAGAAAGAATTACTTTACTGATGATGCGAGGACCACGTTAGATCCTATGAACAAGTAGCTGCTTTATTTAACAATACTTATCGAGATCGTGAACCGATTTCGAAGTCTACAGTCCAGAAAACGGTCAGACGATTTGATGAAACAGGATCCGTCAAGGACCGACAACGCACTGGTAGCCCAAAATTAGCGACAAACTTGGATAAGAGTTTCAAAGTGATGCAAACATTCGTCGAAAATCCTCATTCTACTTTGAGGAAGGCAGCACAGACGCATGAGATTAGTACAATGTCCATTCATCGTATTTTAGTGAAAGAGAAATGGCATCCTTTCAAAATTAAAATCACTCAGGAGCTATCGGAAGATGATTTTGATCGAAGAAATGAATTCTGCGACGAAATGATGTGTCAATACGATAATAATAATAACTTTTTCGATCACATAATTTTTTCCGACGAAGCTTCTTTTGAATTGAATGGAGCGGTAAATCGGGATAATTGCCGATATTGGAGTGATGAAAATCCTCACTGGATGCGCACGCAGTATTCCTAAAAACTTAACGTTTAGGCGGGTTTTTACGAAGGTGGTATTATCGGACCATTCTTCATTAATGGGAATTTGAACGCGGCGATCTATCAGGAGCTATTGCAAAATGAAGTCATATCCGCTCTTGAAAATATGTTTGATGGGAACATAGAAAATATTTGGTTCCAACAAGATGGTGCAGGCCCACACTATGCAGTAGCAGTACGGCAATTTTTGGATAATACTTTTCCAAATCGATGGATAGGAAGACGTGGTCAAGAGTGGCCTGCTAGTTCACCAGATCTTCCTCCTATCAATTTTTTTTTATTAGGGATTATCTTAAAAACAATGTATACGAAACAAAACCTGTCAACTTTGCGGACCTTAGAGAACGTATAATACACTAAGTCGATCTTATCTCGGCAGAGATAAGACGAAATGTATTAAATGATTTTTATCTACGGCTAAGCCATTGTCAAGGAGCAGACGGAAATCAATTTGAACACTTAAACCACTAAATTAAACCACACACCCCTACATACACACATATACACACGCACGCACACACGCACGCACGCGCGCATACATACAGCAGAAAGAATTTGGGGTCATTAATAAATACCACAGAAGTGACGAACTGTGGGGTCCTTATCTCTGCTGTGTACATACACACACACACACATACACATATATAAGAGGTGTAAATCCGATTGTGCAACATCCACGTGGTACACCTTGGCTAATGTCGACGGTATTGTAACTTTCAACCCTCATAACTCGGAAAATACTCAATAAAACATAACTTATTTATAATGTTTTGGAAAGCTCTCGAGATGAGCTATAAGAACATGCAATGAAAAATAGGGGATTCTATTTGAAAAAACAAAGTTGAACTCCGTATGACCGTGTAACGTTCATTCAAGGTCAATCCAATGACACCATCTTATGTCCCTCATCGAACTAAATAACTTTTGTCTGAAACATTTCTTTCTAAAATGCATAGTTTGTAAAATATTCGGCCGTTTCCAGACTTTTGGTACACCCTGTATATATAGTGTTTCATTTTAACTTCCCCAGGCAAATATTTGGGAAAATAATGAAAAATCGGAAAAATGTTTCAGACAAAAGTTGTATGGTTTCTAGGGGGACATAAGGTGGTGCCATTAGTTTGACCTTGAAGAGTCATATGAAGGTTACGTGAAGATCATTTTGAATTTCTTAAATGGAACACCCTATATATTTTTGCATATTCTTGTAGCTTATCTCAAAAGCTTTCCAAAACATATATATAAATAAACATTTTTCATCAAGTACTTTTCGAGCTATAAGGTTTGAAACTCATACTACCGCGTTACCTAAGTGTACCACGTGGAGGTTGCCTGGTCGGATTTATACCTCTTGTGTGTGTGTGTGCGCGCGCACGCGCGCGTGCGTGCACGGAGGATCACCTTTATAGATATCACTTACAAAAATGTTTGGTGATTTTAAATCAGGCGATTTGGGAAGCTACAATCTAGGGAAGTACTATCAAGGATTACATACAACATATTAATCTTCCGTACAAAATTTGGTTGATATGAACAATTTTTATAAAAAAACACACACACTCACATACACCCACACGGGTGTCAAGGTCAAACTAATGGCACCACCTTATGTCGCCCTAGAAACCATACAACTTTTGTCTGAAACATTTTTCCGATTTTTCATTATTTTCCCAAATATTTGCCTGGGGAAATTAAAATGAAACACTTTGTATATCGTGTATATCAATTGCTATCTTATCAAAAACGAAGTATACAAATTTATTAGATGTGGATATTGTGTGGATACACATATGGATATTGTGAGGCTGACTGATTTATAATTTAATATAGTTGTAAAAAAAAACATATGTATGATGTTATATTGCATAAGTAATTATAAATTATTAAAAATAAAGATAAATATAACTTTCACATATAAAATGTATATAGTTAAAATATATATATAGTTTTCATGAAGCTATTCTATATATATACCATATATATATATGTTCATATATATATATATATATATATATATATATATTGTGAACGTTTTTTGATTACTGAAAAGTTAATTTTAACAACAATATATATATATATATTGTTGTTAGAATTAACTATTCAGTAATCAAAAAACGTTTACAAATATATGAAATACATGGCAATGAAAACCTATTGCAATAGTAGCCATTGTATTTTTACACTGCACTATATATTTTTTGCCACATAACTCTTTCTTCGCTTTGATATTTGTCCTTTATCACCTCTTTCCTCCACCCTACCTCCCTCTCTACTATCCTTCCACCATCTACGCAATTAGAATCCAGATCACAATTATATTATAGCAACGAAGATATATGGTACGTACTTTACGTGATTGCACTTGAGGAAAGAAGATGTGTGAAGACGCGCGTGTCGTAGAAAACTAAAGTACTCTTGCAGAACTTAAAGCCTAATATATAAAATCGCTTATCACGTGACATACACACACGCTTCCTGGACGAATACTAATCCACAGGTCATCGCATTAATTTTAAAGTTCAATCGTTATTCACGTGGAAACTCAGGCTACAGCTACATTTTTATATGAAAGATAAATAGCAAAAGCAAAGTATAAAGCGATAATTCGTAGTAACATAATAATACAATAATATAGAAAAGCGTACGTGTGTGTGCCTCTTAGAATTTTATTTTATGTTTATAATGAAATAAAATGTATTAGTAACATGCAACTGGTGTCGCTCTTATAATGCTGAAGGCATAACCGATATTTCGTATTATCGCTAACATACGGTTACTTAATTATTGAAAAAGAAGACAATAATAGAGACTCGAATACATGTTTGATATAATTAAATTCAAATTGAATCCAATTGAATTCAAATTATAATTTTCATTATAATCAATCTAAAATCCGTTAAAGTTAAAATCATTGTTGATCAATTTATATCATAACAGTACATGTAATTATTAACAATTAAAACTATCAGGCACACAGTTTAGACGCAAGTAATATGTACGTTACTGTGTATGCAAAATTCGAGGACACATTCTATTTGCAATGAATAGACGAGTCACTGATCAGACAAACCATCATCAAATGTGAATAACATTTGATGATGGTAGAAGCATTTGATTCATAAAGAACTTAAATCATTGTAATCGTAAACGGATTGACAAGTTGTACAAGAGGGATGAAGATAACCCTTAAATAACAAGCATAATAATTCCCTCAAGAGACATAATGGGATAATGCAATTAGTTTCTTCGAACAGTGCCGGGAAAAACCAGGTGAGTAACGATCAGTAATCGTATTCTCAGAGTCATATTTGTATTTCTTAGTACATCAGATGTAAACAAACGGATCATCTGCGTTTTCCTAAAAAG